TATGCTCTGCTATTGCACAATTCTAATTTGTACATAGGTCACAAATAAAGCTCTTGTTGGGAATACAGATGACTCATTCTCACTCAGAAGTATGACAAAGTATCAGCTGGTTAGTCATTGCTAATAGAGGTGACATTGGACTCTAGATCAGGGTTTCAAAAAGCCGGTCCTGGGGCCCCACCTGGGGGCACGTTTTGGTTTTTGCCTAGCACTACACAGCTGATTCAAATAACCAACTCATCAATTCAAATTTTATTGGTCACATACACATATTTATCAGATGTTATTGCGGGTGTAGCGAAATGCTTGTGTTACTAGCTCCAACAGTGCAGTAGTATCTAACAATTCACAACAATACACACAAATCTAAAAGTAAAAGAATGGAATTAAGAAATATACAAATATTAGGACGAGCAATGTTGGAGTGGCATTGATTAAATACAGTAGAATAGAATACAGTATATACATATGAGATGAGCAAAGCAGTACGTAAACATTATTAAAGTGACAAGTGTTCCATTATTAAAGTGGCCAGTGATTCCATGTCTATGTATATAGGGCAGCAGCCTCTAAGGTGCATGGTTGAGTAGCCATGTGGTAGCCGGCTAGTGATGGCTATTTAACAATTTGATGGCCTTGAGATGGAAGCTGTTTTTCAGTCTCTCGGTCCCAGCTTTGATGCACCTGTACTGACCTCGCCTTCTGGATGATAGTGGGGTGAACAGGCCGTGGCTCGGGTGGATGTCCTTGATGATATTTTTGGCCTTCCTGTGACATCGGGTGCTGTAGGTGTCCTGGAGGGCAGGCAGTGTGCCCCCGGTGATGCGTTGGGCAGACCGTACCACCCTCTGGAGAGCCCTGCGGTTGCGTGCAGTGCAGTTGCCGTACCAGGCGGTGATACAGCCTGACAGGATGCTCTCAATTGTGCATCTGTAAAGGTTTCTGAGGTTCTTAGGGGCCAAGACAAATTTCTTCAGCCTCCTGAGGTTGAAGAGGCGCTGTTGCGCCTTCTTCGCCACACTGTCTGTGTGGGTGGACCATTTCAGATTGTCAGTGATGTGTACGCCGAGGAACTTGAAGCTTTCCACATTCTCCACTGCAGTCCCGTCAATGTGAATAGGGGCTGTTTCCTGCAGTCCACGATCAGCTCCTTTGTTTTGTTTTCCTGGCCCCACTCTGCCAGGACACTCACCTCCTCTCTGTAGGCTGTCTCGTCATTGTTGGTAATCAGGCCTACTACTGTTGTGTCGTCTGCAAACTGGATGATTGAGTTGGAGGCGTGCGTGGCCACGCAGTCATGGGTGAACAGGGAGTACAGGAGGGGGCTGAGCACGCAACCTTGTGGGGCCCCTGTGTTGAGGATCAGTGAAGTGGAGGTGTTGTTTCCTACCTTCACCACCTGTGGGCGGCCCATCAGGAAGTCCATGACCCAGTTGCACAGGGCGGGGTTCAGACCCATGGCCCCGAGCTTAATGATGAGCTTTGAGGGTACTATGGTGTTGAATGCTGAGCTATAGTCAATGAACAGTATTCTGACATAGGTATTCCTCGTCCAGATGGGACAGAGCAGTGGGCAGTGCGATGGTGATTGCATCGTCTGTGGATATATTGGGGCGGTATGCAAATTGAAGTGGGTCTAGGGTGTCAGGTAAGGTAGAGGTGATATGATCCTTAACTAGTCTCTCATCAAGCTTTGATGATTTGAATCAGCCGTGTAGTGCTAGGACAAAAAACAAAACGTGCACCCAGGGGGGCCCCCCCCAAAACGTGCACCCAGGGGGGGCCCACCCAGGACCGACTTTAGAAAACCCACCCAGGACCGACATTAGAAAACCCACCCAGGACCGACTTTAGAAAACCCCCCCCCCCCAGTTGTCTTGAAAGCACCATTATACAAATTGGTGCAACATTAGCAAGATGGGGCTCCCGAGTGGCGCAGCAGTCTAATGCACTGTTTCTCAGTGCAGAGGCGTCACTACAGACCTTGGTTCAATTCCAGGCTGTATCACAACCAGCTGTGATTGGGAGTCCCATAGGGCGGTGGATAATTGGTCCGGGGTAGGCAGTCATTGTAAATAAGAATTTGTTCTTAACCGACTTGCCTAGTTAAAAAAAATACACTGCTCAAAAAAATAAAGGGAACACTTAAACAACACAATGTAACTCCAAGTCAATCACACTTCTGTGAAATCAAACTGTCCACTTAGGAAGCAACACTGATTGACAATACATTTCACATGCTGTTGTGTAAATGGAATAGACAACAGGTGGAAATTATAGGCAATTAGCAAGACACCCCCAATAAAGGACTGGTTTTGCAGGTGGTGACCACAGACCACTTCTCAGTTCCTATGCTTCCTGGCTGATGTTTTGGTCACTTTTGAATGATGGCGGTGCTTTCACTCTAGTGGTAGCATGAGACGTAGTCTACAACCCACACAAGTGGCTCAGGTAGTGCAGCTCATCCAGGATGGCACATCAATGCGAGCTGTGGCAAGAAGGTTTGCTGTGTCTGTCAGCGTAGTGTCCAGAGCATGGAGGCGCTACCAGGAGACAGGCCAGTACATCAGGAGACGTGGAGGAGGCCGTAGGAGGGCAACAACCCAGCAGCAGGACTGCTACCTCCACCTTTGTGCAAGGAGGAGCAGGAGGAGCACTGCCAGAGCCCTGCAAAATGACCTCCAGCAGGCCACAAATGTGCATGTGTCTGCTCAAACGGTCAGAAACAGACTCCATGAGGGTGGTATGAGGGCCCGACGTCCACAGGTGGGGGTTGTGCTTACAGCCCAACACCGTGCAGGACGTTTGGCATTTGCCAGAGAACACCAAGATTGGCAAATTCGCCACTGGCGCCCTGTGCTCTTCACAGATGAAAACAGGTTCACACTGAGCACATGTGACAGATGTGACAGAGTCTGGAGATGCCGTGGAGAACGTTCTGCTGCCTGCAACATCCTCCAGCATGACCGGTTTGGCGGTGGGTCAGTCATGGTGTGGGGTGGCATTTCTTTGGGAGGCCGCACAGCCCTCCATGTGCTCGCCAGAAGTAGCCTGACTGCCATTAGGTACCGAGATGAGATCCTCAGACCCCTTGTGAGACCATATGCTGGTGCGGTTGGCCCTGGGTTCCTCCTAATGCAAGACAATGCTAGACCTCATGTGGCTGGAGTGTGTCAGCAGTTCCTGCAAGAGGAAGGCATTGATGCTATGGACTGGCCCGCCCGTTCCCCAGACCTGAATCCAATTGAGCACATCTGGGACATCATGTCTCGCTCCATCCACCAACGCCACGTTGCACCACAGACTGTCCAGGAGTTGGCGGATACTTTAGTCCAGGTCTGGGAGGAGATCCCTCAGGAGACCATCCGCCACCTCATCAGGAGCATGCCCAGGCGTTGTAGGGAGGTCATACAGGCACGTGGAGGCCGCACACACTACTGAGCCTCATTTTGACTTGTTTTAAGGACATTACATCAAAGTTGGATCAGCCTGTAGTGTGGTTTTCCACTTTAATTTTGAGGGTGACTCCAAATCCAGACCTCCATGGGTTGATAAATTTGATTTCCATTGATCATTTTTGTGTGATTTTGTTGTCAGCACATTCAACTATGTAAAGAAAAAAGTATTTAATAAGATTATTTCATTCATTCAGATCTAGGATGTGTTATTTTAGTGTTCCCTTTATTTTTTTGAGCAGTGTATATATAAACATCACAGAATCTGGGCCCTGTTCAAATACACTCTCTTTCCCTTCATTCCTTGAAGGAATCCCTAAACATCAAGGGGCAACTTATGAGAGTCTGAGGTCACATTTTCAGCACACTTGGCTCTGTGCCATGCAGAACTCCTTCTGCCTGCATGCCTGTACATTGTGAAATAAACCCAACAGCAATGAAGGAGCAACTTCAATCTTTATTATATAGCGGAGGCTGCAAAACAGAAAGGTATCTATAACAAGGGGTTATTTTTGTACAGGTGTTCCTCTATTCAACTGAAATAGATTTTACTCATGTAATGGACAGGTGAGTGACAGAAAAGCTATTATCTGGAGGTGAAATATACAGTGCATTCAGAAAGTATTCAGACCCCTTGACTTCTTCCACATTTTGTTACTGCCTTATTCTAAAATTAATTTACGCTTGGCATTCAGGCCAAAGAATTCAATCTTGGTTTCATCAGACCAGGTAAACTTGTTTCTCGTGGTCTGAGAGTCCTTTAGGTGCCTTTTGACAAACTCCAAGCGGACTGTCATGTGCCTTTTACTGAGGAGTGGCTTCCGTCTGGCCACTCTACCATAAAGGCCTGATTGGTGGAGTGCTGCAGAGATGGTTGTCCTTCTGGAAGGTTCTCCCATCTTTACAGAGGAACTCTGGAGCTCTGTCAGAGTGACCATAGGGTTCATGGTCACCTCCCTGACCAAGGCCCTTCTACCCCAATTGCTCAGTTTGGCTGGGCGGCCAGCTCTAGGAAGAGTCTTGGTGGTTCCAAACTGCTTCCATTTAAGAATGATGGAGGCCACTAAGTTCTCGGGGACCTTCAATGCTGCAGAAATGTTTTGGTACCCTTCCCCAGATCTGCGCCTCGACACAATCCTGTCTCAGAGCTGTAGGACAATTCCTTCGACCTCATGGCTTGGTTTTTGCTCCGAGATGCACTGTCCACTGTGGGACCTTATATAGACAGGTGTGTGCCTTTCCAAATCATGTCCAATCAATTGAATTTACCACAGGTGGACTCCAATCAAGTTGTAGAAACATCTCAAGGATGATCAATGGAAACAGGAAGCACCTGAGCTCAATTTCAAGTCTCATAGCAAAAATCTGAATACATATGTTAATAAGGTATTTCTGTTTTGTTGATTTATTATACATTTGCAAAAATTTCTAAAAACCTTTTTTCGCTTTGTCATTATGGGTAGTGTGTAGATTGATGAAGGCAATTAATTTAATCTATTTTAGAATAAGACTAACGTAACAAAATGTGTAAAAAGTCAAGGGGTCTGAATACTTTCCGAATGCACTGTAAAACAGAACACTGTACTTTGTCAGTGTCGTGATAAAAATTAAATACAAAAGTGCAAAGAGAAAGAAGAATTCAATTACATCCAGCGCCCAACCAACCCTGAAAACAATGATTTCAATTCACACACACACAAAAAAAATGTTCACAACATATCATAATGTTTACTGCAACCTTCCAGTTTGAGGCCATACCGAGTTTAGTTTTGGTGAACCTTTCTATATTATAATTAAGTTCCTTACACAAGGGTTACATTTAAGCATTCATCTCAGCAGATTAATTAATTCAAAGCAGATATTTTTCCTGACAAAACCAGCAGGTAATGTGAGACCGTCTGCTTCCAAAATGGCACCCTATCCCTATATAGTCCACTGTAATCTTTACAATGAAGAATCATTTTCAGAGATAAATACAACATCATGCACAGAGCGAGAGAGTAGGAACTGGTTCCAAGGACTGTGGTGGGTGTAGGTTGTGTAGTCTTCTTTAAAAGATGAATGTGACATTTTTTCCATTTTGCATTGTGAAATGATGGCACACATTTTTGGTCCATGGATTGATGGATGCTTAATTTGTCACAACTCCGATGGTCGGTTGCTCCCTTCTCCCACTTTCACCTTCTTCTTCTTCACGTTGACTAAAAAGAATCTATAGCAATACTTTACAGGCATTGGGATCTTTTACAGGAAGTAGTCAGGAGTGCGGCGGGTCACATGGGGTTCTCCTCTGCGAGGGGCGGGGTCGAACTGAAGGCTGGAATAGAAACAAAGAGTCTGATATGACGCCTCGGAGCGATTTGAGATCTAATACAGGCTTCACTTCATTTCATCAATCAAGACAAATGAGTTAGCAAGCTTCCTTTTCTTATCTACTCGTAACAATTTCCAATGTTTGGAGTTTAACAAAGCTACAGGTAAAGCATTGTCAACTGGAATTTTATTCTGAAGTGAATACTTTTATTCTGAAGTGAATACTTTTATTTTGAAGTAAACACTTATTTTGAAGTAAACACTTATTTTGAAGTGAATACTTACAAGGAGTACTTGAGTGTGTCATCCAGCTCCATGATGGCGGCCTGGTTTCCACAGCGATAGCAGTAATTGGGTGCACTGAAGATGGTCACTACGTTACGATCATGGCACCAGTTATAACCCTGCCAAAACAAACATTCAGTAAACCAGAGGTACATCCCCGAACAAGACAAAGTGCAAGTTTTGCAAAACTGTCTAAAACATAACATAATGCAAAGACAAGAGAAAGTCTTCATTGTTTTTTTGTTTGTTTTTTATCAGTACTTAAATGTGCCAATGTACCTCCATGACCAGCTGGTGAGCTCTGGAGACCAGGGTGAGTCCGTTAGCATGGTTGAAGGTCTCTGAGATGTCCTGTCCAAAGGTGTAGCCGGCACCGCGGGGAGAGATGCCCCAGCCACCACGGTCATCAGGGTCTGACCACAGCAGATCACACATCGGACCCTGGGGGAGGGAGACGGTGGCCATGTTAGTAAGGTCAACAATACTGTGAACACCACATGATTTGAATAAGGTGGCCATATTGGTGAGGTCAGGCTGCAACACTTGGAGCGTCACCACATGATGTGACTTTATTGAAGGCGTTTTGTGTACGCACATTACAACTGTGAGATGAGTAGTGACTAGTTGGCCAGAAGTCCATGGAACAGATTAACTATCTGATATACAATGTCAGGGCTTTCAGCCTTTGGTTCAATAGCCACACCAGCATACTATTTTACATTTTAGTCATTTAGCAGACGCTCTTATCCAGAGCGACTTACAGTTAGTGAGTGCATAAATTTTCACACTGGCCCCCCGTGGGAAACGAACCCACAACCCTGGCGTTGCAAGCGCCATGCTCTATCAACTGAGCTACACAACTGGAGACACTGCACTCTACAAGAACTGAACAAAGCAGGGATCTCTTGGCTAGAGGCAAAAGCCCTCTCACAGAAGTGAGTGAGGTGGAGAGCAAATGGTTGACGCCCTACGCTCCCAAGGGGGCCAAGAGGTTTAAGTCAAGTAAGTCAATCCTATGAAACAACACATTGGGCATGCATTCTAACTAGCACGGTAGTATGAAGATTGGACGTGGTTTCTAGGAACGTGGAAGTGAGCTGACCTCATGAGGAACCTCCTGTAAGCGATCCAGCGCTCGGATGTGTTCCAGTGTGTCTATTGAGGGGGACAACCCACCGTGGAGACAGAAGATCTGCAGAGGAACAACAAGTCAATTAGACATTTCCATGTCAAATATGTGTGATTGTTAGAACAAGGCTTTTAAAAATTCCATCTAACATTGTGTTATTGCTGTAAACAAATCAGTAATAGATGCACATGAACATTGTGTTGGGTTGTAAATGTCTTCTAACATCTGTATTGTACAGCACATTGCTGCTGAATTGCATGGTTACGTAATAACAGGGAAGGGATCCCTTCCGCTGCCTCGCTTTCCAACCAAGGTGCACGAATTGAGGAGCAAACTGAAGGAGAGAGAGGAGATTCAGCAACACTGAGGACAATGGAATTCAATAAAAAGCATATTTATTGCTAAAAGTAGAACCAACACGTTTCGGCTTTTGACCTTCATCAAAAACCATGATGAAGGCCAAAAGCCAAAACGCGTTGGTTCTACTTTTAGCAATAAATATGCTTTTTATTGAATTCCATTGGCCTCCGTGTTGCTGAATCTCCTCTCTACTTCATAACAACAGTGATACTAATAATATATTCGTTTTATATAGCGCTCTTCAAGGACCCAATCAAAGACACTTGTGTAATGCTTCCACTAATAAATAAATAAAATAAATATGTGATACATTAATGCTGCAATATGTCACTTTTTGGGCGACCTGACCAAATTCACATAGAAATGTGTATTATAGATCTGTCATTCTCATTGAAACCAAGTCTAAGAAGCGGTAGATCTGTTCTATGTGCACTATTTCTATGCTTTACGTTCTTAAGTTTTGTTTGTGCGTCTTTTACTGCTGTCGGTTTTGTACACCAGCTTCAAACAGTTGAAAATACAATATTTTGGGTTATGGAAAATATATTTCACAGCGGTTCAGATGGTACGATGATTCTCCACACAATGACCGCTGGTTTTGTCAAACTGAAATGAGGCAAATTAGAATTTTAGCAACCAGGAAGCGGCGGAACGATTTCTGCATAATGCACCTTTAAAAACGAATATCTCACCTGGTTATCTACCAGGGCAGTGAGGGGCAGATAGTCAAATAAGTCTGTGAAGTACTTCCAGACGTTGGCGTTTCCGTATTTCCTCAAACACTCGTCGTAGAAGCCGTACACCTGGGTGATCTGTCTGCTCTCGTGGTTCCCTCGAAGGATTGTGATTCGCTCACGGTACCTAACCTGAAAAACAAAAAATTATTAACACATCTCTGGATGGGACAAAAAGCGCATAAAAACACACATATTACATTCACAGTGACCTTCTGTTCTCATGTCAAACCAGACATGGTTTAAGGTTGACGATGACATTTACAGTAGCAGCAGTAAATGTTATCCTGTGTTATATCAGTAGGCTGTCCTGTTCTCCCTGTAGACTTACGGTCCTCCTCTACCCATTTGAGTTTTAACCTTGTTGCTGTTTGTCCCTGTGCAAAATAAACTAACTAAGCAATATCTTTTAGCAATAATTTTACTGCTGCTCTTTAAAAATGGTTAGTTATTTTTATTTATCTATTTTTTACTTAACACTTATTTTTCTTAAAACTGCATTGTTGGTTAAGGGCTTGTAAGTAAGCGTTTCACTGTAAGGTCTACACCGGTTGTATTCGGCCCCTGTGACAAATAACATTTGACTTGAATTTATGAGAGGAATCGGACAAAGCTATTTTAGAGTACACTAAAACGGGGATGGGCAACTGGCAGCCCACAGTCATTTTGTAGGCCCACGGATCGATCCCCCCTCATAAAATGCATATAAAAATTTTTTAGGAACTCACTCTCACTTACTGTCGATAATTAAAATAGCTGAATACACAAGGTGCAATAAAAAAAACATGTGGTCGTGCTTCAGCAGTTGTTGTCTTATGTCAGTCACTCAATTAGCCTATGTCAGCTAAAAATGTTTAAATGGGTAAGTTAGCGGGCTAGACTAACTATAAAATGCTAGGCTAACTTGTAGTAATCACGGTCGAATTGCCGAATGGGGGCCCTAATAGATTTTCTTAGTCACGCTCACTCAGATAACATATCAAAAACTGCTAACATTTCTGTCCACCCCATGGCAAAATGTGTAGAATTGCAGCAAACTTACTTTAAAAACTGCAACATTTTCTCTACACAAAATGTGTAGAACTGCAGGAAATTTCTCTCCGCTGTCAAGAGGGGGCAGCGAAAAGGTTTTGCTCGCAACAAAATGTTACTTAGGTCCTCCAAAAGGCTAGGGCCGGCTCGGACTACATGTGTGGGTATGGATGTGGGTATGGATGTGGGTATGCAGAGCCGCAAGCTACTGCTTGCCTGGCTACCCAAACTCCTTGCTCCGGGCAAACGCCACGCCCACAAACATTAGTTTTCCTCTGCAATGAGTCTGGATCTGAGTACCTCCACAACAATTTCTAGAATGGAAAAACATTCTAACTGTTCTGACTGGTCCCAGAAATCGATGGGTTGGGCCAGAACACAAGTGGGTAAGGCGGAGGTTTGAAAATGTGTCATTGGCTTTGCTACTCTGATTGGTTAGAGATTATCCAATCGCTGATTATCCAATCGCTTTGTTTTGTACAACACCTCTCATTTTGACATCACCACAAACGACTTCAATGATGGCAGTCTCAGACTGAAGTATGTAGCGAATGATAGAGCAGCGGAAGAATTCAGTTTGAGTCCTCAGGCAAAGCCACTCATGATTAATTCAACAAAAAAAATGGGGGGGGCCCCATTAAAGTTGCCCTTCCCTGCTCTAAAACATGTGGCTATGTTTACCTTGAGAGATACCAGGAGGCTGACTGTCTCTACAGAGTAGTAGCCCCTGTCCACATAGTCTCCCATGAAGAGGTAGTTGGTGTCCGGAGACTTCCCTCCGATTTTAAACAACTCCACCAAGTCATGGAACTGGCCGTGGACATCTCCGCACACGGTGACCGGACATCTCACCTCCTGCACGTTAGACTCCTTCGTCAGGATCTCTTTGGCCTGGAGAGGAGACAGAAGAGTTTGGGGTTAGGGATTTAGACAGAGGATGGGGGAAATCAGGGATACAGAGGGGAACTGCGGGAGTTTGGGTGTGTGTATGTTATTTCTTGTTTGAGTATTTATAAAATGTATGCATATGATGCATATTTTTAAGCTCCAACTATATACAGTAGTTGATACCGAAGGGGCACACTTGGAAATTCAAATGCAACAAGCCAGAACGGCGCGTAAGAACAGCAAGGATATCAAGCTGAAACTTCCAAACACATTCATATAAAAATTCAACATCAATGCTACTCAGTCAATGCATGTCTGCCAACCCCACAGTGAATGCAATGGCAATAGGCAGCTCCGCCGCCATTTTCTGAATAATGTAGCTAGCTAGTTACTGCTAGTTAGTAACTAACTAGTAGGGAAGTAACTAACTAGCTAACTAACTAGCAGTAACATACAAAAGCCGGTGGAGAAATGAACCGTGCTCGGACCAATGAGCAATTTAAGATAGTTGCTTAACATAGCCGGCAAACTAGCTTAGCTAATATTTGCTAAGGGCTTGCAAGATCATACGAATTAAATGGGTTAAAATTACCTTCTCGCAAAGGGCTTTGACCTTGGTTTTCCGAGAGCTGCTTGCATTCGCCGAGTTGCTCAATCCACCCATCCAATTCCTTAGTGAATGACTTGTCGTCCATGTCTGGTTATATTTCAGGTTACCTATTGAAAACTAGTTTAGCTAATACTGGCTAATGCGTTCTCGTCATTCGCACTCTATCTGCCTTCGTCAAAAATGAATGCACGAGCTAGCTAGGTTACCGACCCTGCTTTAAATTGGTTCAACCCCCCCCCACTAGCTAGCTACTCGTTAAAAAAAATAAGCGCTGCATGTGCCTCGATCTCCTGTTTATATGAAATAGCTAAAGAAATGCGTGGAACAGCCGCAGTTGCAGAAAACTGGCTCTGTATGAAATTCCGTGGACCCAACCCTGCTTCTTCCCCCAACAACAATCAATGAGGGAGTTATATTACGCTGGCCCGGGTTGAACCGGGCAATGGTCCTTCACATCATCGGGCGAAAGCGGGGAGGGAGGAGCGCTTTCTCAAATCAAACAGTACTCTGTGCCTCTCTGTCAGATTGCCAACAAGGCAGCATGGTGCATCGTCCAGAAACATACATCTTTTCATAAAATACATGTTTGACTTTTCAAACTAGGATTGGGATGGCAGATCAAGCGTTTTTATCCAAAGCAATCACTTTTGCGTGTGAAAACACCGAATCCTAATCATCACTCCACGTGCTTAATTACGTCACTTTTGTTTTGAGCCGACTTCGCCGACGGCCAGAGCTGGGCACCTGGCTCACGCTCGGGAGGCAGCCCGGTTCCAAAACGAGTGCAATCACTTTTCACCCGATTCAAATTTCTACCACCGGGGTAACCCGAATCAGATAAACGAAACCTCCCGGTCTTGTTGCGTTTACGTCATTGGCCGACGTACTTCACCGGCCCCCTTCATCTGGGCTTTGCTGCCACCGTGTGATTGCGAATGGGAACTACAATGTGCTCTCGGTATCAAAATAATAAACCTATCACAATAAATTCCATGAGCATTGTGGATAATAGTGTGAATAGATATACTGTGCATTCACAGTGAATAAATACAACGGACTGGCAGGATGCAAGAGCAACTATCCAGAATTTAAGGCGGCTCCTCATGTTTAAGACACACGCATGCGCATTGAGTTTCACCCTAGTCAGCAGTAGGAGGAAATGGTCCATGAAAATCCTGATTCCTTGGGACGTCACAACTCTGAGGTTACTCCATTGAAGTTGAAATGTAAAATGGTTAAGGTAAGGGTTGAGGTTTGGGTTAAGTTTAGGGAACTGTAGTAGGGGTTAAGGTTAGGGTTAGGGTAGGGACGTCTCTAGAATCCCGGGTAGCACTAACCAGGAGAAAATGGCAGCACCTTTGAGGTAACGTTAGGAGGACAGCAGGTAAGACATTCAATATTTGTTTATTTCCTGTTATAAAATAACATATAGTTAGCTGATCCTCTTCACCCTAAACCCTAGCTACATTGTCACTTTGAAATGGGTGCAGCTCGCGTCCACGAGGACTTATGTTTTGACCAGTCATTGGTTTTGACAGACGTGTCTGATACAATATAGCAGTAGCAAAACTAATTGAATGAATGAGGCTTGATATAATGTAACAACCAGTGTTAGGGAAGCTACTCTGAAAATGTACTTTACTAAGAGACCAATTACTCCAAACTGGAATAAGTTACACTAAAGTTACCCTTAAGAAAAATATAGTTTACTACTTTAAGTTACTTTTTGGAAAAGTAGTAGACTACATCCAAACTACTTAGTGAAAAATTATCATATCTAAATCTGAAATGTCATAGACTACAAATTGCAAGAACATATCGCTCAGGAGTCAGAAGTTAACTGAATTTGTAATTCAGCCTATTAAACACAAAAACTATGTTTCAAGTGAGAATTAGGCAGGTCTGATGCTGAAAAAGAAAGGAGATTCTTGCCTACTTCACCCATATTTTATTTTAGCAAAAAATAGTGTGTAGTTTACCCTACATGGCAAAAAATAGTTATGAACTACTGAAAACAGTACCAATATTTGAATTTAGTTAAACTACCACCAAGCTACTGCAAAATGTCATGAAATTACTAGTTGAACTATTTGTAGTTCAGTACTCCCCAACTCTGGTAACAACCAGCACTTCTACAGTTAATGGGTTTCTACACCTAGTTTCTCACTCACTGTCACCGGTAGCTACACTGAACTAAAATATAAACGCAACGATTTTACTGAATTACAGTTCATATAAGGAAATCAGTCAATTTAAATATATTCATTTGGCCCTAATCTATGGATTTCACATGACTGGGAATAGAGATATGCATCTATTAGTCACAGATACCTTAAAAAAGGTAGGGGGTGTGGTATTAGAAAACCAGTCAGTATCTGGTGTGACCACCATTTGCCTCATTCAGCGTGACACATCTCCTTTGCATAGAGTTGATCAGGCTGTTGATTGTGGCCTGTGGAATGTTGTCCCACTCCTCTTCAATGGCTGTGTGAAGTTGCTGGATATTGTCAGGAACTGGAACACACTGTTGTACACATCAATCCAGAGCATCCCAAACATGCTCAATGGGTGACATGTCTAGTGAGTATGCAGGCCATAGACGAACTGGGACATTTTCAGCTTCCAGGAATGGTGTACAGATCCTTGCAACATGGGGCCTTGCATTATCATGCTGAAACATGAGGTGATGGCGGCGGATGAAGGGCACGACAATGGGCCTCAGGATCTCATCACGGTATCTCTGTGCATTCAAATTGCCATCGATAAAATGCAATTGTGTTCGTTGTCCGTAGCTTATGCCTGCCCAAACCATAACCCCTACCGCCCCCTTGGGGCACTCTGTTCACAACGTTGACATCAGCAAACCGCTCGCCCACACGACGCCATACTGCCCGGTACAGTTGAAACCGGGATTCATCCGTGAAGAGCACACTTCTCCAGCATGCCAGTGGTCAGTGAAGGTGAGCATTTGCCCACTGAAGTCGGTTACGACGCCGAACTGCAGTCAGGTCAAGACCCTGGTGAGGACGACGAGCACGCAGATGAGCTTCCCTGAGACGGTTTCTGACAGTTTGTGCAGAAATTCTTGGTTGTTCAAAGCCACAGTTTCATCAGCTGTCCGGGTGGCAGGTCTCAGACGATCCCGCAGATCAAGAAGACGGATGTGGTGGTCCTGGGCTGGCATGGTTACATGTGGTCTGCGGTTGTGAGGCTGTTTGGACGTACTGCCAAATTCCTGCAGTCAGCATGCCAATTGCACAATCCCTCAACTTGAGACATGTGGCATTGTGTTGTGTGACAAAACGGCACATTTTAGAGTGGCTTTTTATTGTCCCCAGCACAAGGTGTACCTGTGTAATGATCATGCTGTTTAATCAGCTTCTTGATATGCCACACCTGTCAGGTGGATGGATTATCTTGACAAAGGAGAAATGCTCACTAACAGGGATGTAAACAAAATTGTACACAACATTTGAGAGAAATAAGCTTTTTGTGCGAATGGAACATTTCTGGGATCTTTTATTACAGCTCATGAAACATATTTTGTTCAGTATAAATCAATGCCAGTTTTATCCAAGCAATTCTCTTTCTCTCTCTCTCTCTCTCTCTTCTTGCAGTTCCGTCAGTTCAGCACTTGGCTGACCAGGCAAGTGCTGGTCAAGGTAAGCAAAGCAGGACATACAAGCTACTGGCAAGGGCTCACCAATTATGCAGTGATGACTGACGACCTGAGAACGATATGATCACAGGTGTCTAGTCTAAAGATGTAGCCGTCACAGATAGTAAAAATATCTCAAGATAATCCTAAAACTTCTAATGGGGTGCAATGACTTACCCTCTCTGCCTATTCTCTCTTCTCAGCAGCCAGCAAGCAGGGTAGACTGGAACAGGTAGAGAAGGAGCTGGTCACAGTGTCTGTAAGTCAGTCCCAACACACACACACATGGGAACCCCTGACTGTCGACTGTCCCATGAACCTGGATGCCTTTCTCTTTCAGACCCCCACTTTCAGACTGGCACCCAGCTACTGCCCCATAGCTATACTAAACAGACATATTTCTGTTCCTCCAGGCCCTAGTCAAGGACCCCCAAGCTGTCTACCCCATGTTAAACGTAGCATCAAACAGCACACCTTCACTGATGACCAAGACAGGGCTGTCTCCCATCATCACCATTACAGCTACATGTTAGTCATTTAGCAGACGCTCTTATCCAGAGCCACTTACAGTTAGTGAGTGCATAAAGTTTTTTTTTCCATATTTTTTTTTTCATACTGGCCCCCCCCGTGGGAATCGAACCCACGACCCTGGCGTTGCAAACGCCATGCTCTACCAACTCAGCTACATCCCTGCCGGCCATTCCCTCCCCTACCCTGGACGACGCTGGGCAAATTGTGCGCCGCCCCATGGGTCTCCCGGTCGCGGCCAGCTACGACAGAGCCTGGATTCGAACCAGGCTGGTTCCACTCAGGAGATCAGTGGGTAGCCAGCCTTATGTCAGACTTGTGTATCTGTCTGGACAGACAGGTGAAAGAAAGATAGTGTGTAATAACAGTGTAATATGTAATAGTTGTCTTGTGTGTATTGTTTATGTATCTGTGTCTGAGGCCCTGATGCAGCCCTAACAGTAATTGCCCTAAGGAGATAACTACATTCAGGAGATAACTACATTTGTATTGAATTGAATAATAGTGTATCTTTACTTCCATTCCTCAGATGTTATGGCTAATAACAGCCGTCTGACCTCTGACGTCATCTCAACCTTCAGCAAGATGATGAGTGCCCACCGTGGAGATGTCATCTGTACTGTCACCACCGCACAGGTAGGATCTGACACACACACACTCCATCATTACACATATGTAATCTAATCACAGATCAGCCAACTCAATATTTACATTAATCCACACTAAAATGTAATTGACATGTTGTTTACATTTACAGGACTTGATCATTTGCAAATGAATGATTTGCATTTTTTATTTGACATCTTCCCTAATCCTGTATACCTTTCACAGTCTCTGGATGCTGCCAACCTCAAAGACCTGAACGTTGCTCTGCTTGGCTTCCTGGCCAAAGGAGAGACGCTCCAGCTGGAGACTAAGGTAGGAACTAGGAACTCACAGAGAAGGCTACTGAATAGACATAACACAAAGCCACAGTGGATGCAAGTATAATGGAATCACTGTCCACCTACAGAATCATAAACATTTTAGGGCTTACATTTCCGTTACTTCTGACTAAAATCCTCACCATAAAGTTCTGCGAAATATAGCGATTCATATAGGGACTATGAGCTGGTTTGTACATGCTGCTACAAGTCTGAACGTCTTCTCTGTTCTCTCTCTGCCCAGTCTGACCCCTCCATCCTGGGTGGAATGATAGTCAACATCAGGGACAAGTATGTGGACATGTCTACCAAGACCAAGATCCAGAAACTGACCAAGATCATTAGGAAGACCTAAGAATTGGCATAGAATGTGCCCCAAATGGCACCATATTCCCTATCTAGTGCACTACTTTTAGCCAGGGCCCATAGGGTTCTGGTCAAAAGTAGTGCACTATATAGGGCTACGAGGCCAGGCTGAGGGAATAGGGTGCCATTTGGGATTTCTTTTTATGCATAATCAACTGGACCTGTGAACTCAATAGGAAATGAATGGGGACAATGTTAAGGGGAAATGCTTATGTATATTATTGCTTCCCAGCTTTCGAGTATTACAGTAAATCCAGTCTTTCTGTTGTCATGTTTTATTAGATTTATTAGGATCCCCATTAGTCGATGCCAGTGGCGACAGCTAGTCTTACTGGGGTCTGACACGTAATGAAAAAGACATTACAGACAAAAGACTTTACAATTGACATACATTTAAAAACATGAACATGTAGTGTGTGTGTGTGAGCATCTATCAGTTACACATACATGCCAGTACATATACACACAACAAGTAGTTCATATTAAATATGATGTATTATAAAAACCACTGGATTTGTCTGTTTTGTTGGAGTTGATTTGTAGCCAGAGCGAGGCTAGTTGATTTGCGGATGCAGCCAAAGAAATGTGTGGAGAAAATATTGCACAAAAATATTTGTTTACAGTTTCACAGAGGCAAACTACTGTTTGCCGATCAGACTGAAGAACCAGGGATGTGACTGAAATGTGAATATGTATGATACTGTACAGAAAAACTGGCATGAGTTCTGTAAATTAGATTGCTTTCCCACTAACGTCAGGTCAAATGTAGCTAGATTACACGGTTTAGTAGATCAAGTAAATGTTTTATCCTGTACTTAATCTTTATCATTGTTATACTCCCACCTAGTGAAAGTACAGTATTGATACCTCTGTTTCTAAAGGTTTCCACTAGTTACCACAGCCGCAAAGTCAAAATGGCCTATATCGTAAAAATTCATGAAAACACAAATTAGATTTTTGGTCTTAATATAAGGTTATGGTTAGGCATAAGGTTAGCAGTGTGGTTAATGTTAGGTTTAATGTTAAGGGTAGGTTTTAAATGACATTTTAAGAAGATAAATTGTAGAGATAGGCGGGGTTTATGACTGTGGCTGTTGTAACTAGTGACGACCGTTTGTAAAACAGCTGCGTTCATTTGCTGGACACAATGCCCACGATTTCAAAACTAGGGTTACGAACAAAATGCATAAAATCCTATATCCTTGACCGCATTATGGCTGGATTACATGGCATGTTTTTATTATAGTGAATGCCTTCATAGGGCTGCTAGGTTCCCTTCAAGTGTCGCGCGCATGCGCTTTGAGCCCCTCCTTTTTATAAAAAGGGGAAAAAAGAACGAAAATGGCTGCCTTTCTCATTTAAACCTCTGTCCTAGAAGAATAAATAAACATGAAATACCCGGCGCATAATGTAATCCAGCATCAAGTCAATATCCATGGAATATAGGGCGTAGAATGCATGCGTTTCTATGATGTGGCGGTCAAGAATGGATAAACTGTTTCATATTTAACCCTTTACATTCCATGATCCGCCTACAAATGAGGTTTGTGTGTTTTTTTTGTGTTCTCAAAATGTACTTGCAAATGCAGCAGTTTACTTCGTGTATTGCATTGTAGTAGCGCCCATTGCCCCATTTATACACCTGTTGTATTATTGGGTTGTAAACGCGTAATAGCGAGACTACTACTGTATGTTGCATATTGCATTAGCTCTGCCTATATGGTTTTGCAAGAATAGCCTGTTCTAATTAATGTTGGACAAGATGTTTGCAAATAGAATAGATAATTTATAACATATTTATTACATAGTGTTGTGAAGTGCATCACCATATTAGGTTCTTATTGTGTGTGTTTGTGTGTGTTTATGTGCAGGCGCATACATCTGTGTCACACTTAACAATTCAATGATTCTGAACCTGTTTCCCTTTCATTTGTACCCCTCAACAGAAAATGATGCACCAAGTCACTAGCAGCAGCAATGACTATTGCATGAGTGGCCTTGCAGAGGAATGTCAACACCCAACCAGCCACTTCGACTTATGTAGCTCGCAATCCAACAAATTCTACCCTTCGCCCCCACCCCCTACTCTACAGCTGCCTCTCCCTAACCTACCCCCTCTGCCACAGGGCATGCACAAGCCCATGCCCTGTCAAATGCAACAAGAGACCCAGAATGAGTTCCACACTCAGACAGTGAGGATCCGAGGGGCCAGTGAGGCTCCTATTGGGCCAGAGAGCTCCAAGAAGAAGAAAGGAGGCGTCGTCAAATCCGGCCGTAGAGGGAGACCCTCGGGGACCACTAAGTCAGCCGGTTACCGGACAAGCACCGGACGTCCGTTGGGGACCACGAAAGCTGCAGGGTTCAAGACCAGTCCCGGCAGGCCCTTGGGTACGACCAAAGCGGCAGGCTACAAGGTTAGCCCTGGCAGGCCTCCTGGTAGCATCAAGACTCTGGCTCGGCTCAAGAAACTGGAGTACGGAAGCTGTGATGGTACCAAGAAACTAGACTTCAGTAACTGCGGCGGCGGAGCCAAGAAACTGGACTATGCCAGCTGCGAAATGGCACCTTTCCCTTACACCCTGATGCAGAAACAAGGCTTGTGTGAGCCAACTGGCAAAGTGGAGGAAAGTAACAAGTAGTTCTGCCTGCATCTCTATCTACTGCCTGGAACTCAGATTTGAGTGCTTGTCCTAAAGGATGTTGATAACCAGCAGGGACTTGTGTAGCCAAAATGTGCGTTGACTTTTGGATATGTCTGGCACTGGCTACCTACAAATGGCTCCTCCTCTCTTCAATGTACTGTGCTAATATCATCACCATTTATTCTGTCCCTATCCAAAGACTGAAATCTCTCTCTTTTTTTCAATAAGTATGTTATCTTATTTTACAGAGATTGCATGATGAGGCATATAATAAATACAATCAATATACTTTAGCTAAACAGGAATGAGAGAAATAGCCTATTATTCGTTTATAATCTGTTCAAATGCTCGCTGTCTGGAGAAGGGTTGATGTTTTGTTTAAATGTTTAAATATCTGACTTTCATTCATCTGTTTATTTTATTCTCTGATATAATGTGCTGTATTAGTAGTAGTCGTCATGGTTTTCTTGTCCTCATGATGTTTTGAAAATGTATCTGAGTAGAAAACAACACCAAACGCAGTAAAACATGAATCTGAAGCTTCTCCCAGAGTGCATGTTGCTGTGCTTGTGTCTTTTTGTGTTGTCTGGTATTTTTTAATTTTTTTAAATTTTACCTTTATTTAACTAGGCAAGTCAGTTAAGAACAAATTCTTATTTACAATGACGGCCTACACCGGCCAAACCCTCCCCTAACCCGGCCGACGCTGGGCCAATTGTGCGCCGTATGACATGCATTTCATTTGTATGCATATTTATACACAGGATTTATACACAGGATTTATACACAGGATTCAATGTGATAAACATTGTTACAACACGTTTTTTTGTTGTCATTTTGCTTGAACTGACACAAACACATCTGAAAAATCTCACATAATACTTATTTGACGACATAGGAATTGTTATTTCTAACACTTTGTGAATATGAATGGTTTTGTGTTCTCAATGTGCTGTATTATCCTTAATTTTTTTGTTCTCACAATGTAACTGTCACTTGATAAAAACAAACCCAGAATGGTGTTGAGTAGGAACTATCATTTTAACCAATGGAGAAAATGTGTAACGATAAGATAGTGTATTGTATGACCAAAAATTAAAAAAAAAAGTGAAATGGTCATTTCAAAATGATATTGTCTTGACTGTCACTGATCTTTTAAAAGTGTAGTGTATAGACAATTCCATTTGTTAAGTGCAGACAAAAACCTACATGTATCTTATCCTATCACTTTAGCGAGCAGGCCTTCCTAATTGACCTGGCCCAGGTATCCTGGATGGATATAGATCTCATTCAATCAGTAGAGGATGCCTGGTTATTCTTCAAAAGTAATTTCCTCTCAATCTTAAATAAACATGCCCCATTCAAAAAATACAGAACTAAGAACAGATATAGCCCCTGGTTCTCCTCAGACTTGACTGCCCTTGACCAGCACAAAAACATCCTGTGGCGTACTGCATTAGCATCAAATAGCCCCCGCGATATGCAACTTTTCAGGGAAGTTAGGAACCAATATACAGTTAGGAAAGCAAAGGCTAACTTTTTCAAACAGAAATTTGCATCCTGTAGCACTAACTCCAAAAAGTTTTGGGACACTGTAAAGTCCAAGGAGAATAAGAGCACTTCCTCCCAGCTGCCCACTGCACTGAGGCTAGGAAACACTATCACCGCCGATAAATCTATAATAATAGAGAATTTCAACAAGCATTTTGCTACAGCTGGCCATGCTTTCTACCTGGCTACCACTACCCCGGCCACCAGCTCTGCACCCTCCGCTGCAACTTGCCCATGCCCCCCCCCCGCTTCTCCTTCACACAAATTCAGACAGCTGATGTTCTGAAAGAGCTGCAAAATCTGGACCCCTACAAATCATCTGGGCTAGACAATCTGGACCCTTTCTTTCTCAAACTAGCCGCCGAAATTGTCGCAACCCCTATTACTAGCCTGTTCAACCTCTCTTTTGTAACGTCTGAGATCCCCAGAGATTGGAAAGCTGCCGCGGTCATCCCCCTCTTCAAAGGGGGTGACACTCTAGATCCAAACTGTTACAGACCTATATCCATCCTGCCCTGCCTTTCGAAAGTTTTTGAAAGCCAAGTTAACAAACAGATCAACGACCATTTCGAATCCCACCGTACCTTCTCCGCTATGCAATCCGGTTTCTGAGCTGGTCACGGGTGCACCTCAGCCACGCTCAAGGTCCTAAACGATATTATAACTGCGATCGATAATAGACAGTACTGTGCAGCCGTCTTCATCGACCTGGCCAAGGCTTTCGACTCTGTCAACCACTGCATTCTTATTGGCAGACTAAATAGCCTTAGTTAACACTAACACTCCTTCAGTAGCCTCCAATTGCTCTTAAACACTAGTAAAACTAAATGCATGCTCTTCAATCGAACGCTGCTGGCACCCGCCCACCCGACTAGAATCACTACTCTCGACGGGTCTGACCTAGAGTTTGTGGACAACTACAAATACCTAGTTGTCTGGTTAGACTGTAAACTCTCCTTCCAGACTCACATTAAGAATCTCCAATCCAAAGTTAAATCTAGAATCAGCTTCCTATTTCGCAACAAAGCCTCCTTCACTCATGCTGCCAAACATGCCCTCGTAAAACTGACTATCCTACGGATCCTTGACTTCAGCAATGTCATTTACAAAATAGCCTCCAACACTCTACTCAGCAAATTGGATGTAGTCTATCACAGTGCCATCCGTTTTGTCACCAAAGCCCCATATACTACCCACCACTGTGACCTGTACGCTCTTGTTAGCTGGTCCTCACTACATATTCGTCGCCAAACCCACTGGCTCCAGGCCATCTATAAATCACTGCTAGGCAAATCCCTGCCTTATCTTAGCTCATTGGTCACCATAGCAACACCCACCCGTAGTATGCGCTCCAGCAGGTATATCTCACTGGTCATCCACAAAGCCAACACCTCCTTTGGCCGCCATTCCTTCCAGTTCTCTGCTGCCAATGACTGGAACGAATTGCAAAAATCTCTGAAGCTGGAGACACTTATCTCCCTCACTAACTTTAAGCATCAGTTGTCAGAGCACCTTACCGATCACTGCACCTGTACACAGCCCATTTGAAATTAGCCCACCCAACTACCTTATCCCCATATTGTTATTTATTTTGCTCATTTGCACCCCAGTATCTCTATTTGCACATCATCTCTTGCACATCTATCATTCCAGTGTTAATACTAATTGTAATTATTTTGCACTATAGCCAATTTATTGCCTTACCTCCATAACTTGCTACATTTGCACACACTGTATATAGATTTTATGTTGTATTTGTAACTTTATGTTTTGTTTATTCCATATGTAACTCTGTGTTGTTGTTTTTATCACACTGCTTTGCTTTATCTTGGCCAGGTCGCAGTTGTAAATGAGAACTTGTTCTCAACTGGCTTACCTGGTTATATAAAGGTGAAATCAAAAATCAAAAAAAAAATCATGGGGTCCATGTCCCCCTATTGGCCAGTGGACCCCACCTTTATAAAACACTCATTGCATGTCCAACCATTCTTCAAGATAAATATAAGGAATTCTGTTTTAATCCTGACATTCGCATCCTATAATAATTTTTCTAAGAAGATATATGTACATAAACCTGGGTATTGTGCATTACCTGGGCCTAGAATTACATATGGCCTGTATTGTGAATCTCGATCTCATAGAACGGAGAAAACAATATTGAATGAGGAAAAAAGAATAACACATTTCATATAATTTCAACACAAAAACGTTGGGGCACTTTGAAAAAAATCTAATCAAATATTCTTATTGTCTGGGCCCCTGACTTTGCATATGCATTCTCCTCTCCCTACCTTCTGAGTGACTGCCTCATAAGGTTACACATCTGCAGATTGGTCATCAATGAAGAGCAGCCGAGGCAAATACATATGTGCCTATCAGGTAATATGATTAATTAGAATTGGCTATAACATAATGTCTGTGGCTTATTTGACAACTGTCATTTCGATGTAGGAATGATGGGTATTGTGCGATGCGAGTTGATTACACTAGCAGGAGGGCACCACTGCAAGTATGGCGAGACTTTTGTGTGGCCACTATGCAAGGCGCATTCTTTTCCTTATAGGCTGCTGTCATTGTTATTTTTTAATGCAAACTTATTGTAGGATACGCGGAAAAAAACGGATAGGCATTTAGCCGATTTAACAATCTTCTATTACATTGCACCCCATTGACAGCATGGTGTCCAGGGGTCCGACTTTAGTTGGGGCTTTGCCCCCACCATTGACATGTTTATTGCCTCGGACATGGCCTATTTTCTCTGCTGTCAGGCAATATGGGGAATAGTCTATTTTAAAACTTTGACCAGGCCGCAACCGCTTGCGCTGTTTTCCCGTCGAGCACATTCGAACTATTGAACCGCATTTGTTGTGGCCACAGATTCGTCTCTCTCTCTCCAACCTCTCTCTGCTATCCAAAATGGAGGAGGCAAGTTACGCCTTTGTTGGGATAAGGAAAGCAATGGCGCATTGGTTTATCATTGTGACATACCTTCCCCTCACATAACCCCATAATAAATAGTCAAATTAACTAGCCAAGGGTTTCATGTATGTTGACTAAAACACATTAGTGGATATAGTAGCCTACATCATAGACCCTCTTTTATTTGAGATGGTGCATCTGGATTTGTCAGTGTGACTGTAGAGCAGTGTGCTCTAGTGATTGAGGGTGAGAGAGTGGCCCGGCCCGATGTGCTGTGATCCGCGGGGGGGTTGGGTGGCTGTGCGGATTGGTTGCTCAGCTCTGCTCGCCAACACAGCCAGTCGGTTTAGCAGGGCTTGTTTTAACATAACCAGAGGGGCATTTCGACAGCCCGCGAAACAACCATGTAGTAAATATGATATCGTAATTGTTAGGGACTAAGGTGGTGTAGGCTACACTGACTTTTGATGCACTAAAATGGAAGGTTTTAATTTAATTTTGTCCATTGGTGACTGTTTTGGTAAGGCCGCCGCTGATGAGATAGGACAGGAGGTGAAGGGAGAGAATGAGAGCTGTGGGTCTTTCTTGGCCTAGTGCTGCTGCTGCTGGGATTGTGCAGATCCGCTTTCACAAATCGAAAAAAACACACGCTTCATGCCCCAATCTGAAAGACCCGCAGTTGGTTTTATTTTGACCGACCTCCAAATGGTAAGATTATTGCGTTTTTAAATACAGACGATGTTTTTAAACGTTTTGAACCGTCCTTTTGTGAGTTAGAATGGGAGCTTCCTATGTCGGTTTATAGGCTCAGTGTAGGCTACTTGTGTGAGCCATTCTGTTTGATGGCACTGACTGTATTGACTCCCCTACAGTCAGTCAGGCTGGCAGCGTGAGCAATGTGGCACAGATCTATCATTTCAGTGTTTGCGATCGTTCTATTTTGATATCAAAAACTGAACGAGTAGATATGATTCGATTGTGAACGGGGCAGAACACACCGGTCGCTCGCGGTGTTTTCCTGAGCTTTTTGTCTTCTCTGCTGCCACTACGGACGGCCTTCAGAGGGGAAGCCATGCAATGTCGTCTTATTACGTCTAGGCTATGCGGTGGTCTGTCTTTCTGTTATTCTCGCGTGGAATGCGAGTTGTTATTTACAGACAGACAGTATGGTTTATGTACATTCTTGTGTTTTTTTTAACAGTTGTTTTGTAACATTGTAGCTATTTCAAACAGTGCATGAGTCTGAACCATGTGAATTGACCACACTGTAGCTGGATAGGAAAAAGCAGGTTGTTTGCTAGAAGGTTTACCTCAACCACCCTAACCTGCATTTTCTTTTACAATGACAGGAAGGAGCCATGACAACATGAATCCGTCATACAGAAGGGCTGTTCGGAGCGGCTCAGCATCAGCCACAGCTTACAGCTCAGGCCAGCCAGAGCTGAGGCCCCCCAATGGCCTCTCAGTTTCCACCACTTCCTATAGAAACCAGTGCAACAGCAGCGCCAAGCGTGTCTCAACAGACCAACCTTCGACGGCCATGCAACTGTCAACCTCTTCCCTCAAACAGGCACCTAGCTACGGGTATAACCAGGCAGAGAGGGCGAGGCCCCACTGCTACAGTCCTCTGCTGAGGCTCCAGGACCTCTCCACTATGGTACACAGACCTGGGTGTGATCTGGGACCCGGGCCCCAGCCCAAGGACCTTCATGCCAGGAACCATTTGCACTCTCACAGCCCAGTGGTAGGCTCTAGTTTTGAGGCTCCCCAGGTCCGACTGCCCCCCTCTCCCGGTAACGAGGAGACAGAACCGTACGAGGATTCCATCCGGGATCAGAACGGTTTCTCTCCTGTTAGTTCTGATAGTTTGGAGCGCTGCTCCCCCATCCCCAATGGATACCTGCATTTCGAGTCCACCTTGTTTGACAGTGGGGACAGGGAGGATGAGGAGGAGGAGGAGGATGAGTTGGTTCCTTTTCAACAACACTCTTCTAAGTCCACCAGAGACAGAACTGTCACAGACTCTAACAGCACCTCTGGTTCAGGGCTAGGCCATAACAGCACATACAAACCCTCTGTTCTCAACCTGATGTCCAAGAGTCTATCTGAGCTGGACCCTACTCTGAGCCCCAGTGCCCTGCCTGTCATGTCTATGGGGGATGGCTGGAGTATGGACCAGGACTCCGACAGTGACAGTGAGATGACAGGAGATACACTTGACCATGGTCTCATCTCACCTGTTGGAACCAACTCTAATGTGAGTTATCTCTCTTACTGATGATGATTACGATAACAACCCTTGGGGCAGATGCATCCTGGGTAGCTCTCAAAGATATCTGATCGTATCTGACGTTATGTCCAGTTCTGTAAATACTGTGTAATCTCCTGGAACAGTATTTGTCAAGCAGCGATTCTTAATTGATTGTTTAGATTTTGCATACACTATATGCCGATCGACCATATAGGCTAGTTTTATATTCAGCAAAATAATATTGATTTGATAAGAGTATTTGTTTTAATATTTGAATTTGAGATGCTAAAAATAAATGTTAAACAACGTATATAAAAAGATACAAGAAATCCCTTTTACCATCAGAGTTTTGAACTGTCCAAGTGATGATCCTATACGTGTAATAAGGTCTTTGTTTTGTTTCTGTTCAGCCCAACAGCCCAAAGAAGAAGCCCCTCCCAGCAGTGCAGTACGTGGAGGGAGATCTGGTCTGGGCCAAGTTCAACCGCCGCCCCTGGTGGCCCTGTAGCGTCACCATAGATCCACTGGAGGGGACACACACACACATGAAAGGTGGGCAGTAGTATTATTGGTGTTGGGTCTAAACTGATCACGAGGTGGTCACAGGTTGGGTGTATTATTATGATGTCAGGGCATAAAGCGGTGATGAAAAGGAGGAAGGAAGGGAAGCTCCCATCTGGGTTCTGTGGGGGGTATGACACTTAGAAAGAAGAATGAACCATCTGGATCTAAAATGTGTTGTCCACAATCACTCCAGAGTTGTCATAGGTTGTGGTATATTTAAGCAATTATGCACGAGGGGGTGTGGTATATGGCCAATATACCATGGCTAAGGGCTGTTCTTAGGCACGACGCAACGCGGAGTGCCTGGATCCAGCCCTTAGCCGTGGTAAATTGGCCATATACCACAAACACCCGAGGTGCCTTTTTGCTATTATAAACTGGTTACCAATGTAATTAGAGCAGTAAAAATACATGTTTTGTCATACCATGGCTGTCAGCCAATCAGCATTCAGGGCTCGAACCACCCAGTTTATAAAAGGGCGTGGTCTAAGGCACTGCATCGCAGTGCTAGCTGTGCCACTAGAGATCCTTGTTCGAATCCAGGCTCTGTCGTAGCCGGCTGCGACCGGAAGACCCATGGGGCGGTGCACAATTGGCCCAGCGTCGTCCAGGGTAGGGGAGGGAATGGCCGGCAGGGATGTAGCTCAGTTGATAGAGCATGGCGTTTGCAACGCCAGGGTTGTGGGTTCGATTCCCACGGGGGGCCAGTATGAAAAATTAAAAAATAATGTATGCACTCACTAACTGTAAGTCGCTCTGGATAAGAGCGTATGCTAAATGACTAAACATTTAAAATGTAAATGTGGTATGGGGGCATCCTCAGACAGTTGTCTATAAACGACTTCAACTCAATGTATCAGCTCTCGGCCTGACAGCCTAATTCGTCTTTGTGTAATGACGAGCATTTAGAAGCTTTTGACCCCTGGTTCTCTTATAACATTTTGTATCAATGTTGAAACTAGTTGTCTTTTGTGTTTTCTGTTGTTCCAGTCCCCAGTCGTCGTCCTTGTCGTATGTATTACGTGGAGACTGTGGGGGAGATAGCTGACCACGCCTGGGTACCTGGGAAAGTTACCTACCCCTTCACAGGAGGAGAGCAGTTTACAGACCTGCCTGTGCTGAGACGGAGAGGGAAACAGAGGGAAAAAGACTACAAATACACAGTAACTGACCACAGACAACTGTCAACTCCTGTTGCTTTTAATACACAGTAACTGACCACAGACAACTGTCAACTCCTGTTGCTTTTAATACACAGTAACTGACCACAGACAACTGTCAACTCCTGTTGCTTTTAATACACAGTAACGGACCACAGACAACTGTCAACTCCTGTTGCTTTTAATACACAGTAACTGACTACAGACAACTGTCAACTCCTGTTGCTTTTAATACACAGTAACTGACTACAGACAGACAACTGTCAACTCCTGTTGCTTTTAATACACAGTAACTGACCACAGACAACTGTCAACTCCTGTTGCTTTTAATACACAGTAACTGACCACAGACAACTGTCAACTCCTGTTGCTTTTAATACACAGTAACTGACCACAGACAACTGTCAACTCCTGTTGCTTTTAATACACAGTAACTGACCACAGACAACTGTCAACTCCTGTTGCTTTTAATACACAGTAACTGACCACAGACAACTGTCAACTCCTGTTGCTTTTAATACACAGGAACTGACCACAGACAACTGTCAACTCCTGTTGCTTTTAATACACAGTAACTGACCACAGACAACTGTCAACTCCTGTTGCTTTTAATACACAGTAACTGACCACAGACAACTGTCAACTCCTGTTGCTTTTAATACACAGTAACGGACCACAGACAACTGTCAACTCCTGTTGCTTTTAATACACAGTAACTGACTACAGACAACTGTCAACTCCTGTTGCTTTTAATACACAGTAACTGACTACAGACAGACAACTGTCAACTCCTGTTGCTTTTAATACACAGTAACTGACCACAGACAACTGTCAACTCCTGTTGCTTTTAATACACAGTAACTGACCACAGACAACTGTCAACTCCTGTTGCTTTTAATACACAGTAACTGACCACAGACAACTGTCAACTCCTGTTGCTTTTAATACACAGTAACTGACCACAGACAACTGTCAACTCCTGTTGCTTTTAATACACAGTAACTGACCACAGACAACTGTCAACTCCTGTTGCTTTTAATACACAGGAACTGACCACAGACAACTGTCAACTCCTGTTGCTTTTAATACACAGTAACTGACCACAGACAACTGTCAACTCCTGTTGCTTTTAATACACAGTAACTGACCACAGACAACTGTCAACTCCTGTTGCTTTTAATACACAGGAACTGACCACAGACAACTGTCAACTCCTGTTGCTTTTAATACACAGTAACTGACCACAGACAACTGTCAACTCCTGTTGCTTTTAATATACAGTAACTGACTACAGACAACTGTCAACTCCTGTTGCTTTTAATACACAGTAACTGACTACAGACAACTGTCAACTCCTGTTGCTTTTAATACACAGTAACTGACCACAGACAACTGTCAACTCCTGTTGCTTTTAATACACAGTAACTGACTACAGACAACTGTCAACTCCTGTTGCTTTTAATTTAGCTCACATTGTGTGTTGCTGTTAGTAGTGATATGTTTCAAGTCCCAAATTGCTTTTGTCGTTGCAAAGGTGCAGAATAGTTTCATTGCATGTCTCACAAAACATATCTGGAAGATTATACTCAAATACTGTCTATTCCACAAAGACAACAACTCCATATCGTTTAGAAATAAGGCCGTCTTTGTCCTGATGGCTGTCGTCTCTCCCCTGTAGATACCCAAGCGTCTGTTGGAGTCGTGGAAAGTCAGTGTGCTGGAAGCTGAGTTTCTCCTACCTGACCTGCTGAAGAATACTGCTGTCTCTTCTTCCATGGCCTCTAACGGTGAAGAGCGTGTGTCCACCCCACTGCCTGATGAAAAACCATCCGAGGCCCTCTCTTGTTCCTCCTCTAACCTCACTGCACCCCCGTCCTTCAGCCCTCACCCCAGTAGAAACAAACATCTGACCGTAGTGAACGACAGTAGCAGCAAAAAGAAGAGGAAGAGGAAGGGTTTGGCGGAGATCTTTGGTCATATAGCTGGAAGTCCCACAGAGTCACTAAGCATTCTAGACCTGGCCAACCAAATGCCTGCTGCCTCAGCTGATCCACTGAAAGAAGGAGATCCCAAGGACTCTCCATACGCAGACCTGGATTCTGTACCGACCATTGTACGTCCCAAACGGTCTGAGAAACCTGCTGAAGAAGACACCGAGAAACCGTCTGAACCCTCAAAAGAGGAGGCAGAGAAAGTGGGCAAGAAGGAGCGGGCGACTCCTCCTGAAAAGGAGCGGGCTACTCCTTCTGAAAAGGAGCGGGCTACGCCTTCTGAAAAGGAGCGGGCTACGCCTTCTAAAAAGGAGCGGGCTACGCCTTCTGAAAAGGAGCGGGCTACGCCTTCTGAAAAGGAGCGGGCTACGCCTTCTGAAAAGGAGCGGGCTACGCCTTCTGAAAAGGAGCGGGCTACGCCTTCTGAAAAGGAGCGGGCTACGCCTTCTGAAAAGGAGCGGGCTACGCCTTCTGAAAAGGAGCGGGCTACGCCTTCTGAAAAGGAGCGGGCTACGCCTTCTGAAAAGGAGCGGGCTACACCTTCTGAAAAGGAGCGGGCTACTCCTCCTGAAAAGGACGGGCGTGTGGTCGTGGTGGTCCCTAGGCATGTAGTTCCCATCTCCCCATCCCCAATCATTTTAGCAAACAAATCCCTTTTAAATTACAGAACTACAAAAACCACAAATGTTTTACAGTCAAAACAGAAGTTGGGCAGCTCTTCTGAACTGACAAATAAAAATGCTCTTGAGAAGCTCAGCTCTCTGCAGCTCCCTGCCAGCAGGCGTCTAATGACCAGGGCCCTGAAAGCAGAGGAACAGACAGAACTCAAAGAGGCCCTGCTGGCCTCAAGCCAAAACTTGACAAACGATAGGCTTAATGCGCATTCTTCTGATGATGATGATGATGATGATGATGTGAGCGATAATGTTCAGATCAGAACAGAGTCGTCTACTAGCAGGGATTCTTCACCAGACAAAACCAGATCCTCTGTTAGTCACCGCTCTCGTAAAAAACACCCCAAGTCTGATTGGAAGCACCTCCACAACGGCTCGTGGAAACATTCTGAAGATGTGACTCCAGGGTCCAGTAAGCCTGTCATACCCCCTATTAAGGTCAAGGAAGAGAACATTGTCTCAGACATATCCTCCTGTACTTCCCCCACCTCCTCTCTCTCTCCCATGGACGCTTTCCAGGATATCAAGGAGCTGTCGTTCAAATCCTTAGTGAAGGAGGAGAGCGACTCTGGGGACTCTAACGCTAACTTTAAACCTGAGCCTAGTTACAAGTTCAGTACTTTTCTGATGCTCCTGAAGGATATGCATGATACCAGGGAGAAAGAGGGCCATCCCCTGACCATGCCTCCCTCGCCAGCCCTCATCCAGGAGGAGCCCATGGTCATACCCACTGCCAGAGCACCAGACGACCCCCTGAACACTGCTGCTGGTGGGGAGTGGACACCAGCGGGGACCAAAATCCAAAACGGCCAGCATGCGAGTTCGCTAACACCCAAGAGCACACAGGGCAAACCCAAGTCCAGAACTAAACCCATCATGAAAAACGACACGTACAAACTGGAAGGGAAAACGGTCCTGGCTCAGATGGTGGCGAACGCGGTGGAGAAGCAGCAGCAGCGGAGGAAGCAGAGGCCTCCAGCCAAGCTCCGGGCCACCATCGCTGGTCTCTCTCCCGAGATGGCCGACCTAGCCTGGGGGAGGGAGTTTGTCTCTGGGCACGCTGACCTGGCTGAGCCTGGTCCTCTTCCTCCTGTCGCCTCCGCTGTTGACTCCTCATCCTACCTCGACAAGAGCCCGGGTACCAAAGTGGCCCCTAAGAAGCGCTGGCAGACGTTTGCGCAGCAAGAGCCAGGGAAGGATGCAGGGGCCCTGGGTGGGGTGGCCTCACCGCAGGGGCCTGCAGAGGTGAATGGGGTCTACAGAGACGGCCAGGGAGGGACACCAGACCCCATCAGGTCCCCTGATCTGAACCTGGGGATGGAGAAGCAAGATGACACATCAGGTAAATGGGTTTCAGTACCAGCAGTGTTTTATGTCAACAGTTAGCTTTTTATTTTAGTTTTAGAGATTGATTTGATTGATGGATTATTTGTTCCCACAGCACATTATGAAAACAAACGGCTGAGGAAACCCAGCAAAAGACTCCTGGAATCCACAGAGGAGGAACAATTCTTCTCCCCGAAGAAAAAACTAAGGAAATCTCTGGAATCTTCCAAAACCCCTCTGAGCCCTTCTACAGCTCCAGGCCCAGCCCTGCTAACATCCACCTCTACCCCCAGCCCCAACCCTGGCCCTACCTCTGGGGAGCCAGCCAGCCCCACCACTGGCCCTACCTCTGGGGAGCCAGCCAGCCCCACCACTGGCGCTACCTCTGGAGAGCCAGCCATCACCACCCCTGGCCCTACCTCTGGGGAGCCAGCCAGCCCCACCACTGGCCCTACCTCTGGAGAGCCAGCCATCACCAAGGCCCTGGCAGGGCTGAAACAGAGTCTGTCTCAAGATGTCCTCCACCGTGTTATAAAATCATTATCCAAACAACCCCCAGCAGTGACCTCTTTCTCTACTGAATCATCATCAGATGGGGCAAACCCTCCTCTGCCCTCTGGTAAGGAGACAGTCAACATTTTTTTTATCCAATACCATCTCTCATACTGCAATGCTGTCTTATGTAGTAATACAAGAGGCAGATATATTCTATTGGGAAAGTAGTTCCATTGGGAAAGTAGTTCCATTGGGAAAGTACTGTAGTTCTATTGGGAAAGTAGTTGTATTGGGAAAGTACTGTAGTTCTATTGGGAAAGTAGATCCGTTGGGGAAGCAGTTCCGTTGGGGAAGCAGTTCCGTTGGGGAAGCAGTTCCGTTGGGGAAGCAGTTCCGTTTGGGAAGCAGTTCCGTTGGGGAAGCAGTTCCGTTGGGGAAGCAGTTCCGTTGGGAAAGTAGTTCCATTGGGAAAGTACTGTAGTTCCATTGGGAAAGTAGTTCCATTGGGGAAGCAGTTCCATTGGGGAAGCAGTTCCGTTGGGGAAGCAGTTCCGTTGGGGAAGCAGTTCCGTTGGGGAAGCAGTTCCGTTGGGGAAGCAGTTCCGTTGGGGAAGCAGTTCCGTTGGGGAAGCAGTTCCGTTGGGAAAGTAGTTCCATTGGGAAAGTACTGTAGCTCTATTGGGGAAGTAGTTCCATTGGGAAAGTAGTTATGATTATGAAAACAAATCCTTCTCATATTTTCAGATACAGTAGATTTTAGGTATTTAAATGTGACTGGTCATTCCCCAGCCCCAGTATCCCTGGAGAGGAAGAGGCCAAGGAAGCCGTCTCACAAGGTCCTGGAATGCACCATAGAAGAAGTGTCACTCAGTCCTCCAAAGAAGAAGGAGTTGAAGAAGCAGAGTGCACAGACAGAGGAGAGGACTGAAGTCAGGGACACTCAGGTAAGGCTGAATGAACTAACCAACAGCCATATTAACACAACTATACTGCCACAGTACCACTCTGAAACGGGTCTAATTATGTCATTTCTATGACAGGTTAAGTCTGTGAAGAAAGAAGTGCCTGTATCCAGCTTGACAACTCCAGAGAGCATGGTTTCTCTGCAGGCCTCCTCCCCTGCCCGGACCCCTAGCCCTACAGTGCTCCTCACCCCCAAGGCAGAGACAGAGAACATCAGTCCTGGGGTGGGAGGAGAGAGCCACACCAACGGAGAGAGAACACCCAAACCCGAGGTCAGCATAAACACCACGTTGTCTTTTTCAACCTGTGTGAAAAGATGACTCATTTCATGCTATTGATGTCAGCATTCACCTGAGGTATAATTGTACCAGTGCTGTAAAACAGGGTGCTACGCCCCCCACACCTTAACCAATATGTTGTGTAATAACACCTCTCCTCTCCTCCAGGTGTTCTCTCCTGGTCTGAATGACAGTTTCTCCCTACCTGGTGACGGGTCCCTGCTCTCCGGCACTAAGAAGAACACAGGAGAGAAAGGAGGAGCTGCATCCATGAAGGAGAATGTCTGTCAGGTAGGTCAACCAACAACATGCCACAACCTTAGTATTTTGTAGTGGCAGAAACAGTCAAAATAGCGTAGTATCGTAACGCAAGACTAAAACGTGTGTGTGTGTGTGTGTGTGTGTGTGTGTGTGTGTGTGTGTGTGTGTGTGTGTGTGTGTGTGTGTGTGTGTGTGTGTGTGTGTGTGTGTGTGTGTGTGTGTGTGTGTGTGTGTGTGTTGCAGGTGTGTGAGAGGACAGGCGAGCTGCTGCTGTGTGAGGGCCAGTGCTGTGGGGCGTTCCATCTGCAGTGTATCGGCCTATCAGAAGCCCCCAGAGGGAAGTTCATCTGTTGTGAATGCACTAAAGGTGAGTCTCTACCTGTGCACCTATCTGTCAATTTACATTTGAGTCATTTAGCAGACGCTCTTATCCAAAATGACTTACAGGAGCAATTAGGGTTAAGTGCCTTGCTCAAGGGCACATCGGCGGATTATTCACCTAGTCAGCTCGGGGATTCGAAACCAGCAACCTTTCGGTTGCTAGGCTACCTGGCACCATTCTAATCTTACAGGAGCCATTTACACCTGCTGCAGCCTCACCTATATACATATTCACCTTGACTTAACACTGTGTTACTGAGGTCTTAAACCTGTACAGTGATACTGTCATGCTCATAGACCTTATCTCTGCATCTGACAGAGGTACTTTGTATCTATACCCACAATGTATGTAAGCTGCTTTGGTGTATCACAGAGCTAAGACTGTATCCTTTCCGTTGCAGGGGTCCACACGTGCTTTGTGTGTAAGAAGTCTGGTGACGGTGTGAAGAGGTGCATGGTGCCTGTATGTGGGAAGTTCTACCACAACGAGTGTATCCTGAAACACACACCCACCCAGCACCAGAATAAAGGGGTTCGCTGCTCCCTCCACGTCTGTCTGTCCTGCCACATCACCAACCCCCTCAACGCCTGCAGTTCCAAAAGTAGGTTCCACTTCCACTCTGCTTTGATAGAACCAGGGGTAAAGTAGAATTAATTTCTTCCTATATGTGCAGCAACATTTGTGCACTATTAATACAATAGGGTCTCTGTGGGCCTAGTCATTTAACTTTTAAAATGTATTACCTTTTTATTGTGGCATAAACACAACCAGTCATTATGTTTTCATCTGATTGTCAAACAATCACTTAATAATATAATAATAATAATATGCCATTTAGCAGACGCTTTTATCCAAAGCGACTTACAGTCGTGTGTGCATACATTTTTGTGTATGGGTGGTCCCGGGGATCGAACCCACTACCTTGGCGTTACAAGCGCCGTGCTCTACCAGCTGAGCTACAGAGGACCACTTCAAAGGGGTCCTTTAATAGGCTGCCTGTTCATCCACTCAGAACATAGTGTCTCCAGCCTCCAAACATGAATGTTACACAAAACACCAAAAAGTCTAATGACATTTGGTGATTGTCATTAGGCCGTATTCACTATTTATTTTGCCCGGACGCCGTACCGTACCGGACCGTACCTCCTTACTTTCACCCCTGGCAGAATAGAAATAGACCTAGGCTATAGGTCCAGGTTGGAATTGGAAGTGACATGATTAGAGTAGATTTGAATCCTATGGGATTTTTATGGGATGGAACACCGATTGCTACAGTAGAATTGAAACGTATCAAGTAGGCTGAACACCTGTAATGTGATTGGAGGACTAAGATTAGCTACAAACATTACTGCAGATCAGTTTGTCTGGGATGGGATCCTAGTTTCTAACATGGCTGTGGAGATGTTTTGGTGTGTGTGTGTGTGTGTGTGTGTGTGTGTGTGTGTGTGTGTTGTTTTTGACCTGTGTTCCCTCCTCTAGGTCGTCTGACCCGCTGCGTGCGCTGCCCCGTGGCGTACCACGCTAACGACTACTGACCTGTGTTCCCTCCTCTAGGTCGTCTGACCCGCTGCGTGCGCTGCCCCGTGGCGTACCACGCTAACGACTACTGACCTGTGTTCCCTCCTCTAGGTCGTCTGACCCGCTGCGTGCGCTGCCCTGTGGCGTACCACGCTAACGACTACTGACCTGTGTTCCTCCTCTAGGTCGTCTGACCCACTGCGTGCGCTGCCCCGTGGCGTACCACGCTAACGACTACTGACCTGTGTTCCTCCTCTAGGTCGTCTGACCCGCTGCGTGCGCTGCCCCGTGGCGTACCACGCTAACGACTACTGACCTGTGTTCCCTCCTCTAGGTCGTCTGACCCGCTGCGTGCGCTGCCCCGTGGCGTACCACGCTAACGACTACTGACCTGTGTTCCCTCCTCTAGGTCGTCTGACCCGCTGCGTGCGCTGCCCTGTGGCGTACCACGCTAACGACTACTGCATGGCGGCGGGCAGCGTAGTCCTGGCCAACAACAGCTTCCTGTGTCCCAACCACTTCATCCCCCGCAAGAACTACAAGAACCACGAACACATCAACGTCAGCTGGTGCTTCGTCTGCTCAGAAGGTTGGTGACTGGTTGGGTTGCTGTTGGTTATTGATTGTTTGGTTGGTTGAGTGTTGTCAGTGTTGCAGAGGCTATAATGCAAGGTGGAAGGAACCCTTATACAAATGTGGTGGCGTTGTTGTTAGAGGTAGAGTAATTTTTTGAGTTGGAGTGTGGTGGAAATCATATGTGGATGACCTACGCTCCTCACAGAGTAAAAAGGTTAAAGTGAAATGAAGCATTCAGCCTCCCATCCTGAGGTCATTGGGTCAGATCTGGTTTACTTGGTGTCTGTGCTGCACCTCCTCCTGTCTCCCTGCAGGGGGCAGTCTGCTATTTGTCTTCTGTGGTTTAATGCGTCTCATGTCTGATCTACACTTCCTCCTGTCTCCCTGCAGGGGGCAGTCTGCTGTGCTGCGAGTCCTGTCCTGCTGCCTTCCACCAAGAGTGTCTGAACATCGAGATGCCCGAGGGGAGCTGGTTCTGCAACGACTGCAAGGCCGGGAAGAAACCACATTTCAAGGACATCCTCTGGGTTAAAGTGGGAAGATACAAGTAAGAAACACTGGTCTCTAGAAATAATATCCATGCTTTTGGTCAGAACCAACTGAGTGACACTTTTCGCCCGTGTCAACAGATTAAAAAAAATAGCTCAAAGGCAGTAGCTGAAACCTGGTTATATTGTTATTGATCAGACTCTCCATCAGTGTGTATAATCTGCATCTACACTGAGTATACCAAACATTAGGAACACCTTCCTAATATTGAGTTGCCGCCACACCGGCAGTCACTCTACATCACCATTGAGTCACTGTAATCTCCTTTTATGCACTCTGGACATGTGTTGGTAGTACTCAACTTGCTAACTACCATCAGGTCCTAATGGCCTGGTACTCAGGGCTCTAGTGTCCCTCTGACCACTCTGACGTCAATGCAAATAAAATCAATAATCACATCAAACACTTATCATCAAAACAGTATCTTGCTTTTAAAACTCACGTCACTGTGATTGATCAATTTGAAGTTCAACAACAGGTTGAAACTGAGTGGAAAACGTGGTCATTGTTGTTTAGAAGCCAAACACAGCTAATGGACAGCACTTTCTAAGGTAATGATTCATTCAAAACAACCATATGCATAGTTGTGTTTATGCATAGGCCTATGAGTCCAAGATGAAAAAAACCTGAATTAAAATAAAGATTGTGCCGTTATACAATACATAGCCTACCGCATATTATGCATGGCAGAAAAACATTTAAAAAAAAACTCATTTAAGATGTCTTTGGTACATAATTGGTCTAGCCTATATTCCAAAATTAAACACATTCTAGTAATGCCTTTGAGTGTGGACTGTATTATCCATACCTGATGGACTGGTTACCTTATGCTACATTTCAAACGTTCTATTCATTTAAAAATGTTTTTATTAACCTTTATTTAACTAGGCAAGTCAGTTAAGAACAAATTCTTATTTACAATGACGGCCTACACCGGCCAAACGCGGACGACGCTGGGCCAATTGTGCGCCGCCCTATGGGACTCCCAATCACGGCCGGATTGTGATACAGCCTGGAATCGAACCAGGGTCTGTAGTGACGCCTCTAGCACTGAGATGCAGTGCCTTAGATTACATATAGTAGGCCAACTCCTATTCTGTTCTTCTGAAATAAAAGGTATTCAATTCATAATGTTTCTTTAGACCTGCATACATTAAATATTGGATTTATTGTTATGGTGTATATTAAATAGATTTATTCTACTTTTTTAAATGTAGATGTTCCAAAGGTCTGCATCAGTGGCTTGGAGGCTTGGAGATGCTAAACGTGTTTATTTTAGTTAACGGTCAATTACTGTGTGTTATGATGAGTTTCTCCGGTATCAAGTAATTCAGGATGCAAGAAGATATTTAACACTTAGATGGAGAGTTGATACATGTATTTTAATGTACGGTACCGGATTCAGCATAACCAACAGCATGTGGAGTTGCCCCTTGTTATCTGAATGATAGGCATACAAAATCTCTGTTTATATACTGTTTTCCAAGCTAGTTCTATCCAACAGTTGCCAACCATTATTGGGTGTCACTCCCAACCACAATATTATCACCCTAGATGGCATCATCTTGTACCCTAGTCAGGACATTACATCACATACTCATTCTAAAAGTGACATCAGTGGCCCCCCAGCCTTCCTTGGCACGCAGACCTTCTGACACCCACCAGTGACTGGAATAAATGGAATGTCCTCATCCTCAAAATCCTATGTAACCCGCAATAGCAAACACATTAACAAATCCTGTATAAAAACACGTCATATCACCGTGAAACCGGCAGTGTTTTGCATGACAATAACCAGCTGGCAAAATGTCATGACTGCCACAGCCCCCCCCCCCGGTGCACCTGGCACCTCTTATCATTCCCCGTTCAAAGGCACTTAAATATTTTTGGTCTGGCCCATTCACCCTCAATGGCATGTCTCAATTGTCTCAAGCCTTCAAAATCCTTCTTTTAACCTGTCTCCTCCCCTTTATCTACACTGATTTAAATTTAACAAGTGACATCAATAAGGGATCATAGCTTTCACCTGGATTCACCTGGTCAGTGTATGTCATGGAAGGAGCAGGTGTTCTTAATGTTTTGTATACTCAATGTATAATGTAAAATCTGTATCTCCTCTCCTTTGTTCAGGTGGTGGCCTGCGGAGGTGTGTCTTCCTAAGAACGTCCCAGAGAACATCCTCCGTATGAAACACGAGGTGGGGGAGTTTCCCGTTCAGTTCTTTGGTTCTAAGGACTACGCCTGGACCTACCAAGCCAGAGTCTTCCCTTACATGGAGGGAGATGCCAGTAACAAGGACAAGATGGGGAAGGGTAGGGACGCCATCTACAAGAAAGGTTAGAAAGAAACCTCCTTTACTTGGTGATAATGGAATATATAACAAACAATATACTTTATTTTAGAAAAAAAATACCAAAGAGCCTTTCCTATTAGTGCATTAAAAGGCATTTTTTTTATATTTTGGCACCTTCTAAATGTTTTCTTCAAGTCTTAAACGATAGAGATGTTTCCAGGTACCGCAGGGCAGAAAGCTTGCCATTTGAGATATATTAGCTAGCTGATAATGCTAACTTCCGTTTCCTCTCAGCTCTGAATGAAGCAGCTGAGCGGTTCATAGCGCTTCAGGCTGAGAAGGAGATGAGACAGCTTCAGGAGGACAGGAGGAACGACAAGAAACCGCCTCCCTACAGACACATCAAGGTACTGTCCCTTTAAACCTCCTCCCTACAGACACATCAAGGTACTGCCCCTTTAAACCTCCATACAGACACATCAAGGTACTGTCCCTTTAAACCTCCTCCCTACAGACACATCAAGGTACTGCCCCTTTAAACCTCCATACAGACACATCAAGGTACTGTCCCTTTAAACCTCCTCCCTACAGACACATCAAGGTACTGTCCCTTTAAACCTCCTCCCTACAGACACATCAAGGTACTGCCCCTTTAAACCTCCTCCCTACAGACACATCAAAGTACTGTCCCTTTAAACCTCCATACAGACACATCAAGGTACTGTCCCTTTAAACCTCCATACAGACACATCAAGGTACTGCCCCTTTAAACCTCCTCCCTACAGACACATCAAGGTACTGTCCCTTTAAACCTCCTCCCTACAGACACATCAAGGTACTGCCCCTTTAAACCTCCTCCCTACAGACACATCAAGGTACTGCCCATTTAAACCTCCTCCCTACAGACACATCAAGGTACTGCCCCTTTAAACCTCCTCCCTACAGACACATCAAGGTACTGTCCCTTTAAACCTCCATACAGACACATCAAGGTACTGCCCCTTTAAACCTCCATACAGACACATCAAGGTACTGTCCCTTTAAACCTCCTCCCTACAGACACATCAAGGTACTGTCCCTTTAAACCTCCTCCCTACAGACACATCAAGGTACTGTCCCTTTAAACCTCCATACAGACACATCAAGGTACTGCCCCTTTAAACCTCCATACAGACACATCAAGGTACTTCCCCTTTAAACCTCCTCCCTACAGACACATCAAGGTACTGCCCCTTTAAAAAAAAAACCTCCTCCCTACAGACACATCAAGGTACTGTCCTTTAAAACCTCCTCCCTACAGACACATCAAGGGTACTGTCCCTTTAAACCTCCATACAGACACTCAAGGTACTGCCCCTTTAAAACCTCCTACAGACCCAAGGTACTTCCCCTTTAAACCTCCTCCCGCCAGACACAGTCAAGGTACTGCCCCTTTTAACCTCCATACAGACACATCAGGGTACTGCCCTTTAAACCGCCTCCATACAGACACATCAAGGTACTGGCCCCTTTAACCTCCATCAGACACATCAAGGTACTGCCCCTTTAAACCCTCCTCCATACAGACACATCAAGGTACTGCCCCTTTAAACCTCCATACGACACATCAAGGTACTGTCCCCTTTAAACCTCCTCCATACAGACACATCAAGGTACTGCCCCTTTAAAACCTCCATACAGACACATCAAGGTAACTGTCCCTTTAAACCTCCTCCCTACAGACACAGCAAGGTACTGTCCCTTTAAACCTCCATACAGACACATCAAGGTACTGCCCCTTTAAACCTCCATACAGACACATCAAGGTACTTCCCCTTTAAACCTCCTCCCTACAGACACATCAAGGTACTGCCCCTTTAAACCTCCATACAGACACATCAAGGTACTGCCCCTTTAAACCTCCTCCATACAGACACATCAAGGTACTGCCCCTTTAAACCTCCATACAGACACATCAAGGTACTGCCCCTTTAAACCTCCTCCATACAGACACATCAAGGTACTGCCCCTTTAAACCTCCTCCATACAGACACATCAAGGTACTGCCCCTTTAAACCTCCATACAGACACATCAAGGTACTGTCCCCTTTAAAACCTCCTCCCTACAGACACATCAAGGTACTGCCCCTTTAAACCTCCATACAGACACATCAAGGTACTGTCCCTTTAAACCTCCTCCCTACAGACACATCAAGGTACTGTCCCTTTAAACCTCCTCCCTACAGACACATCAAGGTACTGTCCCTTTAAACCTCCATACAGACACATCAAGGTACTGCCCCTTTAAACCTCCATACAGACACATCAAGGTACTTCCCCTTTAAACCTCCTCCCTACAGACACATCAAGGTACTGCCCCTTTAAACCTCCATACAGACACATCAAGGTACTGCCCCTTTAAACCTCCTCCATACAGACACATCAAGGTACTGCCCCTTTAAACCTCCATACAGACACATCAAGGTACTGCCCCTTTAAACCTCCATACAGACACATCAAGGTACTTCCCCTTTAAACCTCCTCCATACAGACACATCAAGGTACTGCCCCTTTAAACCTCCATACAGACACATCAAGGTACTGCCCCTTTAAACCTCCTCCATACAGACACATCAAGGTACTGCCCCTTTAAACCTCCATACAGACACATCAAGGTACTGTCCCTTTAAACCTCCTCCCTACAGACACATCAAGGTACTGCCCCTTTAAACCTCCATACAGACACATCAAGGTACTGTCCCTTTAAACCTCCTCCCTACAGACACATCAAGGTACTGTCCCTTTAAACCTCCTCCCTACAGACACATCAAGGTACTGTCCCTTTAAACCTCCATACAGACACATCAAGGTACTGCCCCTTTAAACCTCCATACAGACACATCAAGGTACTTCCCCTTTAAACCTCCTCCCTACAGACACATCAAGGTACTGCCCCTTTAAACCTCCATACAGACACATCAAGGTACTGCCCCTTTAAACCTCCTCCATACAGACACATCAAGGTACTGCCCCTTTAAACCTCCATACAGACACATCAAGGTACTGCCCCTTTAAACCTCCTCCATACAGACACATCAAGGTACTGCCCCTTTAAACCTCCATACAGACACATCAAGGTACTGCCCCTTTAAACCTCCTCCATACAGACACATCAAGGTACTGTCCCTTTAAACCTCCTCCCTACAGACACATCAAGGTACTGCCCCTTTAAACCTCCTCCCTACAGACACATCAAGGTACTGTCCCTTTAAACCTCCTCCCTGCAGACTATGCCTTGCATCCCCTGTCTGTCCCTCTCTTTGGTCCCTGTTTGATTTTTCCTGCTACAGCTTCTCTCATGTTTGACAATTGAATAGTACCTGAGCATTTTCACTCAAATCTCCCTTTGAGATCTATGCATAATTCACGCAGAAGTCTGAATTGCATCCGCTTATCTCAAGTGCTTATTCTTCCCCTCAGGTGAACCGACCAATCGGCAAGGTCCAGATCATCACGGCGGACCTATCGGAGGTGCCACGCTGTAACTGCAAGGCGTCTGATGAGAACCCGTGTGGCATCGACTCAGAGTGTATCAACCGCATGCTGATGTACGAGTGCCATCCCCAGGTGTGTCTGGCAGGGGAGAGGTGCCAGAACCAGAGTTACACCAAGAGACAGTACACCCAGGTGGAGATCTTCAGGACCTTGTCACGAGGCTGGGGGCTACGTGGCGTCTCCGACATCAAGAAGGTAAAGCCTAGGGCATCAAACGACAACACAAACACTTCCCTTTCTGTTTCTGTTTAGAGAACCATTCCGCCTTGTCCCGCTGTGGATCTGCACTGCTGCCTACATAATTGCCCCTTGTGGGATAAATAAAGTATTTTCAATTGAATTGAATTCCACGGCCCTTTTCACCCGATGTATTCTTTGTTTGTTTCTGTTTTTAGATGTGGACATACAGTAGTATATTTAGCCTCCATAACACTGTGTCTGTGGTGTAAAAGGGGTTGTGTTTCTGCTGGACTATAACCTGAGTCTGTGCTCTCCCCCCTCTCTCAGGGTGCGTTTGTGAATGAGTACGTGGGGGAGGTGATAGACGAGGAGGAGTGCAGAGCCAGGATCAGACATACTCAAGAGAACGACATCTGTAACTTCTACATGCTCACTCTCGACAAGGACCGGATCATAGACGCTGGACCCAAGGGGAACCAGGCGAGGTTCATGAATCACTGCTGCCAGCCCAACTGTGAGACCCAGAAGTGGACGGTAAATGGAGACACCAGGGTGGGGCTCTTCGCCCTGGAGGACATCCCCAAAGGTCAGAGGAAGTATCAACAAACCTGCTGGAGCCTGGTTCCATTTCTGTAACTAACTCCTGGAGCCTGGTTCCATTTCTGTAACTAACTCCTGGAGCCTGGTTCCATTTCTGTAACTAACTCCTGGAGCCTGGTACCATTCATGTAACTAACTCCTGGAGCCTGGTACCATTTCTGTAACTAACTCCTGGAGCCTGGTTCCATTTCTCTAACTAACTCCTGGAGCCTGGTTCTATTTCTGTAACTAACTCCTGGAGCCTGGTCCCATTTCTGTATCTAACTCCTGGAGCCTGGTACCATTTCTGTAACTAACTCCTGGAGCCTGGTTCCATTTCTGTAACTAACCCCTGGAGTCTGGTACCATTTCTGTAACTAACTCCTGGAGTCTGGTACCATTTCTGTAACTAACTGCTGGAGCCTGGTTCCATTTCTGTAACTAACTCCTGGAGCCTGGTTCCATTTCTATAACTAACTCCTGGAGTCTGGTACCATTTCTGTAACTAACTCCACTTCAGGCACTAGGGCTAGTGACCAAAAGTGTCTTTGTAGATTCAGAAGGTACAGTGAGGGGAAAAAAGTATTTGATCCCCTGCTGATTTTGTACGTTTGCCCACTGACAAAGACATGATCAGTCTATAATTTTAATGGTAGGTAGGTTTATTTGAACAGTGAGAGACAGAATAACAATAACAAAATCCAGAAAAATGCATGTCAAAAATGTTATAAATTGATTTGCATTTTAATGAGGGAAATAATTATTTGACCCCTCTGCAAAACATTACTTACATACTTGGTGGCAAAACCCTTGTTGGCAATCAGAGGTCAGATGTTTCTTGTAGTTGGCCACCAGGTTTGCACACATCTCAGGAGGGATTTTGTTCCACTCCTCTTTGCAGATCTTCTCCAAGTCATTAAGGTTTTGAGGCTGACGTTTGGCAACTCGAACCTTCAGCTCCCTCCACAGATTTTCTATGGGATTAAGGTCTGGAGACTGGCTAGGCCACTCCAGGACCTTAATGTGCTTCTTCTTGAGCCACTCCTTTGTTGCCTTGGCCGTGTGTTTTGGGTCATTGTCATGCTGGAATACCCATCCACGACCCATTTTCAATGCCCTGGCTGAGGGAAGGAGGTTCTCACCCAAGATTTGACGGTGCATGGCCCCGTCCATCGTCCCTTTGATGCGGTGAAGTTGTCCTGTCCTCTTAGCAGAAAAACACCCCCAAAGCATAATGTTTCCACCTCCATGTTTGACGGTGGGGGTGGTGTTCTTGAGTTGATGCCAAAGAGCTCGATTTTGGTCTCATCTGACCACAACACTTTCACCCAGTTCTCCTCTGAATCATTCAGATGTTCATTGGCAAACTTCAGACGGCCCTGTATATGTGCTTTCTTGAGCAGGGGGACCTTGCGAGCGCTGCAGGATTTCAGTCCTTCACGGCGTAGCGTGTTACCAATTGTTTTCTTGGTGACTATGGTCCCAGCTGCCTTGAGATCATTGACAAGATCCTCCTGTGTAGTTCTGGGCTGATTCCTCACCGTTCTCATGATTGTTGCAACTCCACGAGGTGAGATCTTGCATGGAGCCCCAGGCAGAGGGAGATTGACAGTTATTTTGTGTTTCTTCCATTTGCGAATAATCACACCAACTGTTGTCACCTTCTCACCAAGCTGCTTGGCGATGGTCTTGTAGCCCATTCCAGCCTTGTGTAGGTCTACAATCTTGTCCCTGACATCCTTGGAGAGCTCTTTGGTCTTGGCCATGGTGGAGAGTTTGGAATCTGATTGATTGCTTCTTTGGACAGGTGTCTTTTTATACAGGTAACAAACTGAGATTAGGAGCACTCCCTTTAAGAGTGTGCTCCTAATCTCAGCTCGTTACCTGTATAAAAGACACCTGGGAGCCAGAAATCTTTCTGATTGAGAGGGGGTCAAATACTTATTTCCCTCATTTAAAATGCAAATCAATTTATAGCATTTTTGACATGCGTTTTTCTGGATTTTTTTGTTGTTATTCTGTCTCTCACTGTTCAAATAAACCTACCATTCAAATTATAGACTGACCATGTCTTTGTCAGTGGGCAAACGTACAAAATCAGCAGGTGATCAAATACTTTTTCCCCTCACTGTAACTGTGAAGAAACACGACATAAGAAACAGGACCTTATTGTTCCTTAATTATGGACTATGATATCAAATCTCTTGGCCTTATTAGAATAGGAATAAAGCTCCCTGTACAGTACCTGACGGTGTATTTTTATTTGTGTGCAGGTGTGGAGCTGACCTTCAACTACAACCTGGAGTGTCTCGGTAACGGGAAGACGGTGTGTAAATGTGGAGCGCCCAACTGCTCCGGGTTCCTGGGGGTCCGACCAAAGGTAACGCTCTGAGACTGACGAATGTCAACATACAAAACATTTGAATTTAGATTGTACTTGTCTACTAGACACTCTTATCTAGAGAAATGTACAGTAAGTGCTTTTAGTTGTTCACTGTGTGATGAGGATGAGTTCTACTATAAAAAAGTAAAGGTAGACTGGTCACTATAGCTGTCTGAAGGTAGACTGGTCAATATAGCTGTCTGAAGTAATGACCTGTGTGTGTCTGTCTCCCAGAACCAGCCATCTAAAGCACGGGAAGGAAAGGAACTGAAGGAGGGCAAGAAGAAGGTTCTGGTGAAGAGGAAGCCTCAACTGGAGGTGACGAAGGAGCGGGAGGACGAGTGTTTCAGCTGTGGGGACGGAGGACAGATCGTGTCCTGTAAGAAGCCAGGCTGTCCCAAGGTCTACCACGCAGACTGTCTCAACCTGGCCAAGAGACCTGCAGGTGGGTGAAGGGGCGAGAAACCACCTCCCACATGGAGGCTCTTTGACCCAAAATGGCTGTTATATTATCTGTGATTATGTATGGGACTTGTCTAAGAGGTTTTAGTCTGTAGATTTTTTTTGTCCTTAGAATTCATCAGCAAGGGATTTGGACATGGGGGGGGGGGGGGGGGGGGAGAGTGTAACTTCCCACTGGGCACACCACGTCATTTCAACGTGGATAATTGGGTAATATTTGGTTGAGACGTTGATCAATGATATTACAACCTACTGTATATTCACCCACTCAAAAATACAGCCAAAAGTTAGTTGAATTTCCAATGTGTTATCACTATGCTTTCAACCATCTAAAAATACAATCAAATTCCAATGGAAAAACAATGTCAGATTTTTGGTTTAATTGTCACCCAAATGTCTATCATTATAGCTTTCAACCATTTTAAAAGCCCAGAGAAGTTCAAACGTCAGAAATGTTTATTTATACAACAGATTGTGTTATCACTGTGCTTCATCTAATAGCAGAACCAAATGACCTGGATTGCAGTTGAGATTCCATTAAAAGTACATAGTGCAGTGACCAATGCTGTTTGAGATTCTGGTGAGATTAATAGAGGTATTGAGAAAATCTCCACAGATCTGCGATGACCTATGCATGCTATCTTAAACATGCACGCTTTATATGATTAAATAAGAAGACAGTATAGATACAGTAACCTCAAAATGTGGGCCATGAATGTGTTACTCATTTTAAGGTAGAATTTTACATTGTTTTACATTAGCCTTAAAGAGATTCTCCGGTACTTTTGTATACTTTTTTAGCCAGTAGTTTTGAAAGTAGCGCCCACGATCCGAAAGTGGTCCCCAGAAATTGCGTACAATGTCCCAAATGTGCAGATATGTGCACCATGTCCTTGCTCTCTCGCCATACCGTGTGTGCGTCTTGCTATCTGTCACTCCAATGGCGAGGGGCTGGAGATAATTGGCTAAAAAATCGAATTGCTACGGGGCTGGCCCAAGTGAGGGCAAATGTAGGGAAAAGGGCGCCGCACAGCTTCCAGAAGACAGTCGCTTTCAAACTAGGGATTTCGTGGCTAATTGAGGTAAGACAGTAATTTGGCTAATAGATTCTGCATGTATGAAACACATTGACACATCCAGCCCAAAGTGTGAGGTTTAAAAAATACTTACCGGAGCATGTCTTTAACTTTAGCCTATACTGTATTACAAAAGTAGGCCTAATATTGAATTGTTTGGTTGTCAACGCAACCAAATATCAACATTTTGAAGGAGATTTATCTTCTACTTGGATAGTTCCATCTGTGCCACTGACTTAGTCTGGCTTAATTCTTTAATTTTGATTGTTAATTTGTAGACAAACTGGAATTAAAGCCAGACTAAGTCAGTGGTACAGATGGAACTATCTAAGTAGAAGATACAGTGCATTCAGAAATTATTCAGACCCCTTGGCTTTTTCCACGTTACGTTACAGTCCTTATTCTGACTGGAACAAACTGCAAAAATCTCTGAAGCTGGAGACTCTTATCTCCCTCACTAACTTTAAGCATCAGTTGTCAGAGCACCTTACCGATCACTGCACCTGTACACAGCCCATCTGAAATTAGCCCACCCAACTACCTCATCCCTATATTGTTATTTATTTAGCTCATTTGCACCCCAGTATCTCTATTTGCACATCATCTCTTGCACATCTATCATTCCAGTGTTAATACTAATTGTAATTATTTTGCACTATGGCCTATTTATTGCCTTACCTCCATAACTTGCTACATTTGCACACACTGTATATATATTTTCTGTTTTGTTTTTGTTTATTTCATATGTAACTCTGTGTTGTTGTTTTTACTGCACTGCTTTGCTTTATCTTGGCCAGGTCGCAGTTGTAAATGAGAACTTGTTCTCAACTGGCTTACCTGGTTAAATAAAGGTGAAATAAATAACAAAATAAAATTATCAAATGGATTAAATGAATAAAAAGTCCTCATCAATCTACACACAATACCCCAGAATGACAAAGCAAAAACAGGTTTTTAGAACTTTTTGCAAATTTATTAAAAACAAAAAACGGAAATATCATATTTACATAAGTATTCAGACCCTTTACTCAGTACTTTGTTGAAGCACCTTTGGCAGCGATTACAGCCTTGAGTCTTCTTGGGTATGACGCTACAAGCTTGGCACACCTGTATTTGGGGAGTTTCTCCCATTCTTCTCTGATCCTCTCAGAGGCTGTCAGGTTGGATGGGGAGCGTCGCTGCACAGCTATTTTCAGGTCTCTCCAGAGATTCTCGATCAGGTTCAAGTCCGGGCTCTGGCTGGGCCACTCAAGGACATTCAGAGACTTGTCCCGAAGCCACTCCTGCGTTGTCTTGACTGTGTGCTTAGGGTCGTTGTCCTGTTGGAAGGTGAACCTTCACCACAGTCTGAGGTCCTGAGCACTCTGGAGCAGGTTTTCATCAAGGATCTCTCTGTACTTTGCTCCGTTCATCTTTCCCTCGATCCTGACTAGTCTCCCAGTCCCTGCCGCTGAAAGACATCCCCACCATGCTTCACAGTAGGGATGGTGCCAGGTTTCCTCCAGACGTGACGCTTGGCATGCAGGCCAAAGAGTTCAGTCTTGGTTTCATCAGACCAGAGAATCTTGTTTCTCATGGTCTGAGAGTCTTTAGGTACCTTTTGGCAAACTCCAAGCGGGCTGTCATGTGCCCTTTACTGAGGAGTGGCTTCCGTCTGGCCACTCTACCATAAAGGCCTGATTGGTGGAGTGCTGCAGAGATGGTTGTCCTTCTGAAAAGTTCTCCCATCTCCACCGTGGAACTCTGGAGCTCTGTCAGAGTGACCATCAGGTTCTTGGTCACTTCCCTGACCAAGGCCCTTCTCCCCGATTGCTCAGTTTGGCCGTGCGGCCAGCTCTAGGAAGAGTCTTGGTGGTTCCAAACTTCTTCCATTTAAGAATGATGGAGGCCACTGTGTTCTTGGGGACCTTCAATACTGCAGACATTTTTTGGTGCCCTTCCCCAGATCTGTGCATCGACACAATCCTGTCTCGGAGCTCTACGGACAATTCCTTTGACCTCATGGCTTCGTTTTTGCTCTGACATGCACTGTCAACTATGGGACCTTATATAGACAGGTGTGTGCCTTTCCAAATCATGTCCAATCAATTGAATGTACCACAGGTGAACTCCAATCAAGTTGTAGAAACATCTCAAGGATGATCAATGGAAACAGGAAGCACCTGAGCTCAATTTCAAGTCTCATAGCGAAGGGTCTGAATAATTATGTAAATAAGGTATTTCATTTATTTATTTTATTATACATGTGCAAAATGTTCTTAACCTGTTTTCGCTTTGTCATTATGGGGTATTGTGTGTAGATTGATGAAGAACATGTTTTATTTTATCAATTTTAGAATAAGGCTATAACGTAACAAAGTGGAAAAAGTCAAGGGGTCTGAATACTTTCCGAATGCACTGTGCATCTCCTTCAAATGTTGATATTTGGTTGCGTTGACAACCAAACACAATTCAATATCACTAAATATGAAATCAACCAGAGCTTGAAACCCTTGGCCAGGAATGCCCAACCCTGTCTCTGGAGACCTACAGGCCTGTAGGTTTTTGCTCCAACCCTAATCTAGCACACCTGATTCTAATAATTAGTAGGTGGATAAGATGAATCAGGTTAGTAACACCTGGGGTTGGAGCGAAAGCCTACAGCAGGGTAACTCCTCAGGAACAGGGTTGGGCCCTAGACCCATTGTATTGTCTATTGTTAGTTTAATCCTGGGTTGAATTGAAACAACATCTGTTGACGACTTTGCAAATGCTGTATAGGCCGAAATATCATCGTTGATGATATATGAGTGATAAAATAAGGTCACATTTAATTTGCTCTGTTAAACCTACCCTTTGGAATGACTTCGATAGCAACAGTGAATCTATTTCGTTTTTAAGTGGAGATCTTTCAAAAATAATTCTCACGATAGCAAATTGGTAATAGTCAGTGACAATTATCATAGCTAAGCTGGGCTTGGTTAAATCCCTGGATGGGAGACCAAAGGGTACATTTACATTTACATTTTAGTCATTTAGCAGACGCTCTTATCCAGAGCGACTTACATGAGCAATTAGGGCAAAGTGCCTTGCTCAAGGGCACATCGACAGATGTTTCACCTAGTCGGCTCGGGGATTAGAACCAGCGACCTTTCGGTTACTGGCACAATGCTCTTAACCACTAAGCTAGCTGTAGATAAATCAATTCTCCAGTAGGAGGTGCTGCCCAGCCTATAGTATTTTTCTTCTGATAGTTGATATAACATTGAAGAGCTGACGTTGTTTTAAAGGTACAAATTCAACATAATTTATACAAGGTTTGTCTATGTTGACATAATCCTGTGGTTGAAATTTAGGTGATAACTTTTTTTTCAAATCCAATGTATTTTCTACGTAGATTCCACGTCACAATACGCAAATAAATTACGCTGAAACAATGTTGATTCAACCAGATTGTGCCCAGTGGGTTAGATTGATTTAGTACATCGGAGAAGGAAAGAAATCATAGTGGTGGTTTTTGCTTTTGTTCAAACCTCAAAGCTGGAGTTTCCTGAAGGACTGTAAGGATCTGTACTACAGGAATGTGTCTGGTGCTCTCTGTTGTAGCAGTGATTCTGTGTCTGTATTCTAAGGCCGTTGGGAGTGCCCCTGGCACCAGTGTGACATCTGCGATCACGAGGCAGCCTCCTTCTGTGAGATGTGTCCCAGCTCCTTCTGCAAGCAGCACCGTGAGGGCTTGCTCTTCATCTCTAAGATAGACGGGCGGCTCGCCTGCAACGATCACGACCCCTGTGGACCCGAGCCCCTGGAACCAGGGGAGATCAGGGAGTACGTACCTCCTGGGGGCATGCCTCTCCCCCACCTCCTCACACACCCTCTGGGTCTGGTCCCACCTAGGCCTAGTTCCACCACTGCTGGTTCTATCCCCTCCATGGTTGCCCCAGGCCTGGCCCAGGACTCGCTATTGCCCCCTACAGGGAGCCTGTTCCTCAATACCTCCCAGACCTCCAACACCTCCTCGTATGGACCACCTAGCAGTCCCTACATGTCTGATAGTGAAATACTGCACTTCTCCCCTCCTTCTCCCCCCTCCTCTTACAAGGAGGAGAAAGAGGAGGAGGATGGAGAGCTGGAAGACGGACAGGTGTGTGGGTTAGAAGAGGAAGAGGAAGGAGAGGCGATGGAGGTATTTGAGGAGGAAGAGGAGGAGGAAGAGGAGCAGTATGAGGGCAGAGAGGAGGAGAAAGGGGGAGATGTGTATGACACCTGGGGGGACTACATGGATGAGGAGCCAGACGATGAGAGAGAGGAGTGGTGGGGGAGGGTGGAGGACGAAGAGAAATGAACTCTGTTCACACCCCCCCCCCCCCCCCCCTTGTGTCTTCCATTCCTTCCATCTATCCATCTCTACCAAAATACTTGTTCTCTAGCTCTCATCTCTCTAGAGTGACATTCAGATGGACAGACAATGAAAGAGAGAGAGAGAAGAAAAGAGATTGTCCTGGTGGTACCAAGCGAAATACGAAGCTGCCTTTGTGTTCGTACTGCATTGCCTTCCTATCCCCAGCACAGCATAGCACAGCGTGTGGACTGGACTGGACTAACGTTGCATAAAGGATAGGAACTGGTGCTGGGGCTGGGAGACCTGCTCTGATCAGGCTCTGGTCCTTCTGTTCATATGTTATTAGTGTCTGGTGCTGTTTTTTTCTCTCAAAAGTTGTTTACATTTTTGTTCTTGCTTTGTTTACGATCGGAAAACTAAAAAGGATGGGCACCCTCACTCAGCCACACCCTGCCTACACCGGCCATGTTGTGTGTGTGAGCGTTGCTAAATAAATGTACAAATACAGGTTATTCAATCAATTCATCCACACTGCTTGCACACGTCAACTAACCTCTTTGATGCCAAACTCTAAAATAGAACTTGGTTATGTTTGAGACCCTCCCAAGTCTCTCATATCCATATTGGTTTTTCATGAAGATACAACCCCACATGGTTGCTTGACAGGAGAAACCTGGAGATATTAAGCAAAGATAACTAAGTAGGTTTCCCTTTTTTATCTGTGGATTATTTGTTGGAATGGAGATACGCACCAATTTCTGTATGATCTGGGTCAAAATTCTCCAAAGGACCAGCTAAGAATGGGACCACATGCATGATCAGGTAAAATAACAACCCCAATGTTCATCTCCCAGGACAAACCACTAACAACAGCTATCTAGCTTATTGTCCATGAATGTTTCATGTGTGTTTTGACCTGGCCCCAAGTTAATATAGTTGGATCACAGTTGGTTTTGTTATTTTAACCTGCGTATTCAAATAGACAAAATCGACCCGCGCTCGATGGTGCACACGCACACACGGGTACGGTGTAGCCATGGTGTTAGATTTAAGAGCTCGACCAGTTATCAAGAATAATCAACGATATGCTTTCAATGATCACTGATTATAAAAAGGCAGAACCAACTACTGGTTTGGACTTTATAACATTGTTACAAATCAACCCAATGTTGAAATCTAAAGTGCATCTCTTGTAAACAGTAAAAAACACTTTTTGTCTACAGCAAAAGATTGTTGATAAAACAAATCCCTAATTTTTAAGATCCCAGATTGTTTGTTCATTACATTAAGATGTTTATGGCTGGACAAGCAGAAACATTCCAAGAGTTCAGAACATCACTCCTGTTAGTTGTGCGCACATCAATGTTTTGACCTCAATTTATGGCTTGCGTTACTGTTCCATCCACAGAATTAGAATGAAATGAAACACATTCTAGTTCAATGATTCCATCACCATGCTCCATCATCATAGGTCATTAAACAATCGCATCTGTCAGGAGTATGTCTATTGTCTGTTTGGGAGATGACACAAAAAATGTATATTGTGAGTGAAAGTGATGTACGTTTGAGTGCACGCATGCACGTGTCTGCTGTTTATAGAATCAAGCAATACTAGTCATGTATTAACTCATGGCTTTTAGACTTTTTTTAAAGTAGAGTTTTATACCTCTGAATTGAGTGTTGTGGTGCTGTAAACATTTTACCACAAACCCCTTAGTATATATAGACTCTTCATCTTCTGGCTGGTTGCTTGCATCACTAAAAGACAGTTCACTGTTGGTTAACTGAAGAGCCAAGCAGAATGTCTCGTTCTCTGTCATAACTAATGTTGATTCATCGGGCAGCTTTTCCATCAGGGTGGTTTATCATCACTCTGAAGCTGTGAAGTGTTCTGAAACGTCTGTACATTCTAGAAAGGTTGTTCTGAGACCTTCAGTTCAGAACTTTTGTGTAATGTTCTGCTGTAAATGTTGTGCATTCAAACATGTAGCAGCACACTTCCAACGCACAAAACACACTGGTCCGTTCTGTTTGGTTGCTGGTTATGGTTAAATTCCATGATATAACAATCCTTCCCATGAGTGTCATCCAATGTTTTTGAAATGAGAACACTTTGCTACATTTTCATGAATTTTAGAATTGGTTAAATTGATGTTTAGAATTAGAATGTCAACTATGAGAATCACTGGACAATTGGCCTTACAATCGCTAATTTTCAGCCTTTTAAAACAATCAATTATGTACTGAATTCCCAAACAGAAGCACTACCATTTTTACATGGCTTGCCCATCAATGTGTCAACAAAATATCTTTCTGCCTCACTCTTGACATCCAGGCAGATAAATAGATGTATGTTTTTTGTTGCCTAGTTTTGTATTTATCAAACCCATATGATCTTTTTTTCTAATGTTTTTATTTTATTTCTTCCGTTGTGTGTTTTGTGATGATGTTTATGCCAACAGGTCTACTTCGAAGAGTTCTCTGGCCCCTCGTTTTTTTTAGAGAGCTGAAACACAACAATAGATTTTCTGAAGAAATGGGGGATATGTTTATTGCTGCCATGTGGAGAAGACTCATGAACTGAACTGTACTGTACTGTACTCCTTTGTGTATAATAAATATTATAAGTAAAGTTTTACAATAGAAAATGTGGTTCTTGTCATTTTTTTCAGGCACTCACTTGTCCACTTTTGAAAGAAAAGCAGATAAGCTGAAAATATTTACTGATTAACCTATTTTTCTTACAATGATTATGAAATGAATCAAAGGACACATGCGTCATAAATGTTCGACTCCGTGGCGAACAACTCATGGTCATACAACTGGCTCAGCGCAACGGTTTGGAGAAGTCATATGCAAAGATTATAGATATACTGACAAGATACATGTATCTCCGCCCTAGCAATGGGAGTTGTTGTCCACGAAGCTGCAGGGCGTGCTGTCTAGCTCTCGCCTATCCTTTCTTTGGATTGGTGGAAACATCTCATTGTAATCCATTTTTGGGTATTCGATTAGGGGTTGTTGACGTCAACCGCCTGTATTCAATGGGGAGAAATGCTACGCTACTATAGCCTCATTCCATGAATATGCATAGCCATCTGGAGACAACGCCGATATAAAGTGTTTCGTGTTCTACTTATATCAGTACACTCATAACAACTTCAACATTACGAAACTTCTATTCGATCAAATAAACCTCACGTAGTAAATAAGGCAATAATTGTTTTGTTGACCAAATTCGACCTCCATACAAAAACTCCTCGCTTGGTCGGTGACAAAACGCCAGCTGCTGGAGGGGCGTCTTTCTTTTTCCCAACGCAGTTCAGCCAAAACCACGCCCCGTTATTTAGAAGGGGCGTTCTACAACGCTTTGAGCGCTCTCCAAGTCCGGAAGTGAATATCATGTAGCGCGAAATTTCAGTCACTGTTACATACATTTGCCTTGTATTTCAAGATTGAAAAATATTTCAGTCACTGATTAATAACATTTGCCTAAATCCTTAATACATACATATTTGTTCTATGCCAGTGGCTAACCACTCCCCTTGAGCATTTTGTCTTTGATTGAGACAGTAGGAACTTCAAGGGGAACATCAGTTTACTTCACATGTGCTTTATTCACTTTGGGTGAGAACTATTTGCATACACTGAGTCAGACAACTTGTGATGTGTAATTTCTGATGGCCTTTTCCTTTTAGCATGTGAACAGTATGGGTGCTCAAAGACACTGTTCTGGCTTTTTGGTCGTCCAGTCGTGAGACGCCGTTTTGTACCAGCCTTGGTGGAACGACGGGCAACAGCTGTAGGCTGACAGGGAATCATAGGGCCTGGTCGTCTGGCAGCTCTTCGGAGTGCTGTTGGCCGCTGGGCTGATGTGAGACTTCCCAAAGCAATGGCAAAAAGATCTGTTTGGCGTGTAAACACACTGGTGGTTTGTTGTAACCGAGTATTGGTGCTAAACAGTGTTATTGGAGGCTGGCATGCTAGTTGGCTATGGCGTCATAGGATTCGGTGCCCTGGACGGTTTTCACGGAAGAATACTGTACCAAGTTAGCTAGCTGAATAATCTAAGTTAGAGTCTATTCCTAGAAAACATTGAACCACTGTAGTTTACAACAATTATAATTTCTAAAGTGGAAGTTTGGAGAGTTATATTTGAGTGTTTCAGTGAAACGTAAGTGAGGGAGGCCCCGCTCTCTCACTTTCCCAGATGTTTAGTTCATTTAATTCCGATCTCCTTTGCATTATTGTAGCCTTTTTCTGTAGCCTGTCAACTATGTGTCTGTCTATCCCTGTTCTCTCCTCTCTGCACAGGCCATACAAACGCTTCACACCGCGTGGCTGTTGCCACTCTAATCTGGTGGTCCCTGCGCGCACGACCCACGTGGTGTTCCAGGTCTCCTGCAGTCTCTGGAACTGCCGTTCTGCGGCCAACAAGGCAGAGTTCATCTCAGCCTATGCTACCCTCCAGTCCCTCGACTTCTTGGCGCTGACGGAAACATGGATTACCACAGAAAACACTGCTACTCCTACTGCTCTTTCCTCGTCTGATCATGTGTTCTCGAATACCCCGAGAGCATCTGGTCAGCGCGGCGGTGGCACAGGAATCCTCATCTCTCCCAAGTGGACATTCTCTCTTTTTCCCCTGATCCATCTGTCTATCTCCTCGTTTGAATTCCATGCTGTCACAGTCACTAGCCCATTCAAGCTTAATATCCTTGTCATTTATCGCCCTCCAGGTTCCCTTGGAGAGTTCATCAATGAGCTTGACGCCATGATAAGTTCCTTTCCTGAGGATGGCTCACCCCTCACAGTTCTGGGTGACTTTAACCTCCCTACGTCTGCCTTTGGCTCATTTCTTTCTGCCTCCTTCTTTCCACTCCTTTCCTCTTTTGACCGCACCCTCTCACCGTCCCCCCCTACTCACAAGGCAGGCAATACGCTTGACCTCATCTTTACTAGATGTTGTTCTTCTACTAATCTCACTGCTACTCCCCTCCAAGTCTCCGACCACTACTTTGTATCCTTTTCTCTCTCACTCTCCTCCAACACTACTCACTCTGCCCCTACTCAGATGGTAATGTGCCGTCGCAACCTTCGCTCTCTCTCTCTCCCGCTACTCTCTCCTCTTCCATCCTATCATCTCTTTCTTCTGCTAAATCCTTCTCCCTCCAATCTCCTGATTCTGCCTCCTCAACCCTCCTCTCCTCCCTTTCTGCATCTTTTGACTCTATGTCCCCTATCCTCCCGGCCGGCTCGGTCCTCCCCTCCT